TTGAGCAATCATCTCAACCGTCGATCTCGGTCGATCTCCGGTTCCCCCAATACCCTCCGGCAAGCTCATACGTGGTAACACGTGTGAGATTGGACAAATCTTCAAAATAGCGGCTTTATACCCGGCCGTCGGGTCATCATCGACGTTTATACCCGGTCGTGGGGTCAAAGCGGCTACAAAACCCAGCCGTTGGGTCATCGACGTTTATACCCGGTCGTGGGGTCATCAACGGTGGAAAATACATCTTTCGTAGTTGTGTATCTCCATCGATTTAAAATCACAAGTCTTGGTCGCTCTTCGAACATCTTGTTCATGAAGAAATTTGTGTCGGATTTAAATTCATCACCGCCGGATCAGCATCGTATCCATTGGAGTCATCAAAAGCCGTGTGGCTCACATTAGTATAAACGCCATCATCATCTTCTTTCATTAAGAACGTGATGATAGTTGAATCATCTTCATAAAGACCACATAATGGTCTGTTTCTTCCTTCACAAGAAAACACAATTACGTGTTCTCTTTTCTTTTTTTTTTTTTTTTTTTTTTTTTTCAATCGATCTTGGACAAAAGGAAAAACACGATCACGTGCTTTGAAAATCATCTTCTTCCAAATTGCATTGATCGTCCATCTCACCTGTTGTAGTGGTGGTGATATCAACAAATCAATAACAAAATTTTGGAATCGATCAAGCTTTTTTTTTTTTTTTTTTTTTTTTTTTTTTCTTTTGCGGAAGATAACGAAACCCTAACCCATAGGAGTAGGATCAAGGCTCTGATACCATGATAAATTGATGAGAGTGAAGAACACAAAAGTGTTTAGAAAGAATTGTAATAGACTCTCATAAGAATAAAGTTATAAATTACATTCTCTTATATAGAGATGAGATTTCCTAATCTAAGATAAATATAAATGATGAGAGTGAAGAACACAAAAGTGTTTAGAAAGAATTGTAATAGACTCTCATAAGATTAATGTTCCAAGATACATCAGTATATATAGAGAGAAAGACTAAACCTAATTTCCTAAATTAAGATAAACTTAAATGTAAATAATACTTTTAGAGATAAATATAAATATTCCTAACTAAGATATGATAATCTTCTAGATCCTTCTCGATCTTCATGATTTCCATATTCTTGAGCAATCATCTCAACCGTCGATCTCGGTCGATCTCCGGTTCCCCCAATACTATATTATGATAGAATTTAGTGAGGACAATCAAGAACCGGTATGGGCACTATAAAAAGAATCTCCTTTCTATCTTGTGAAAAGCCGTAAGTACTTTTCTTCAGAATTCGTATTCTCTTTTACTCTTTCCTTTAACCCCAATTTCCGGCTATATTCAAACTCCAAAGTGATCTCCTTGGTGACCAATTATCTTTGATCCCTCTCTACCTCTCTCTATCTCTGTCTCAAAGGATATGGGGATTATCCTATATGCCTTTTAACTATATAGAGAAACTAAATCGACATTTTTAACCTTATATATGTCAACCTCTTGTATTCATATTTCCACGTGTGTACATGCAAAAAAATAAAATTACAACAATTTGCCAGAAAAAACATCTTCAGCTGAATAATAGTATATACTCATTTGAGAAACCCTTGATGGAAATGCTCTTATATTAGTGTCGTCATTGTATCACCACTTGAATTCATCTCACATATTACATGTTCTTGATAAAAAAAAAATGACTATAGATCTTAAATACGTTTCTCATGTGCTATTATGACACAGGTCCTATGAAGATCCTTAGATGTTTTAATTTACTAAAAAAAAAAATCTGTCCAGATCCTCCGGAGTCTAAACAAATGTGTATGGTGACAATTTTGTTACATCTTCTAGTTAATATAATTGGCCAATTGCATCGTCTGTCTTCTAGTAAAATTTCGATTCCAAAACCTTACAATTAAATCCAGAATAAATAATTTAATTAATTCATGTTAAGATGCTATAGTTGGAGATCAACACAAACCTTTGGAGATAAATAACATGTATATAAACATATACTTCAAAATATATGCGAGTGTTACTTGTTTGACAATGCAACGTAGAGCAATTGAATGGTAAAAAAGATAAAACATTAAAACAACACAATATGGTAAAACCACACAATCCGAAAGAGAATTATAATACGAAGAGCTTACTAATTTAAAAGAAACCATGCATAAATCCGCTGCAATAATCTTCACTACGCCAGAATGACACCAAGAGTCCCCCCAAACACTTCAGTGTTATATACAAATCGATCAAACATTTAAGGACGAAATAAATGTAATTTGAATATTAACAATGAAGCGTTAAAGGGAACTCATGGGGACATTTGACTCTCTTCTTGTAGCTCTGTCCTGATATAAACAACAACAACTTCATACCTATTTATATATCTCCATATCTTCCTTTTTCCTATGAGAATTTTCATAATGGGACCAACAATCATATATTCGAATCATACAATCAAAGAACGTGTGGAAATTTGAAAGTTGAATCGAGTCGAAATTTTGGGTCTCGTTCTTAGATATCTGACCGAATATTTATCTTGTGTCTTTTTTTTTTTGTTAAAGGAATATTTATCTTGTGTCCCTAAGTTTGCTTGAAATACTTTGAAACGACAGAAAATTCTTTACATGGACTCGATCCTCTGATATGTCTTTTCTTCCTCTTTTTTTAATTGCCACTCATCATATATTCACATTCCCGAGTCCCAACGTAATCTCCGGTGAAAGATGATCAAACCATTTAATCTACCATGCAAAGGTAGGCAATCTAGAATGTGGAATAGTTAAAATTTTACTTTGAAGTGTATAGATTAAAGAAAGTGGTGTAGTATCGTATATATAGACTTGATTGCATGTTGTGTTTGCATGCTTATACGTATTTAATTAAATTACTGTGTTTATGTTTTAAAAAAATATCTAATCGCTACAAAAATTTATATTAAGCATCAAATGTAAAAAGATGCAAATGCGAAATGCATATGAATTGAATTTTGTTATAATATTTTTTTGTACTTTGATAGAAATTTCATATTTTCAAGCTTACAAATTTTACTTTGAAAAGCAAATTATTTGCGTTGTTTACAATTTTGTTAAATTCTATTAAAAAAGTGTTGTTTCCATTAAAATTTAACTAGTAACCACTTGTATTTGTATGTATGCCTTCAAAGATATTTTCGCTGCAACTTAAACCATGGTTGACATACTACTGTTGAATTATCAGAATTTCAGGCTCTTTCACATATTTAGAGATTGGTCAAATTTTAAACCTGGGATTTTTTTTGCATATAAAACAATATATGTATATTATTTCATCTTCTCACAAGTGGTGTGTGCATATAATTATGCTTCTCCGTCATGCAATATATTTCAGGTTACTGACTTTCAACTTTTCCATGCAATATGTATTAAATATCAAGTTATCATACAATGCGCCACATATATGGGAGTTTGGTTTATCTATCATTTCTTTAATCAGAGAGAGAAAATGTTAGATACTAGAAAATATATCAACATCAATAAGCTTTTTCTTCATAGTTATCAAAACTCATGGATTCTTTGTAATGAAAAGATATCGACATCAATAAGCTTTCTCCATAGTTATAATACAAGAAATTAAAAATATTAAAAGATTTAAGAGCAGGAGAATGTTGTGAGAAAGAACCGTTATGGAGTACTAAAAGCATATAAATTATAAAACAGAATCTCTACGTGTTTGCATCCTTTCTATCATGTGAAAAGCCATATGGACTTTCTTCAAAATTCGTATTCTTTTTTTACTCTTTCCTTTAACCCAAATTTGCGTCTATATTCAAAATGCTTTCGTTGGTCATCATCTATGCATGATCTCTCTATCTCTCTCTATATCTCTTTAATAGACATTACATATGGAGATTATCCTTTAAGCCTTTAACTATAAATAAAGAAACGTAACTACTTCCATCTTCTCAAACCATGCATCAACCACTTGTACTCATATGTACATGCAACGCTAATGTGTATATATAAACAAGAAACAAGATTGTTGGTTGGATGTCTCCTAGAGTTCCTCTGAGCACTTCATTGGGGATACAATTTTTCTTTCGATGATGATTACCCACTGAAGTGTTTGGGGGAACTCCCGGACCCATTCAACGGATTTTCGCATGTCGATACCAGGTTTTATATGGTGTACACTTCAATCTTATATATCTTTTTAGATGTTTAAGGTTTTAATTTTTGTTTGAATGGCTTAAATATATATAGGTCGATGCACTTGAGAACACATTTTCTACGAATTTGACTCTCTTTTTTTCTTGTGTAGAAGTTTGGCCACAATTTTTTCGATCTTTCTTTCTCAAGTTTGCTGTTTGGTCTCAGCTTACTTATATATAGTCATATAGTTTCGCCATATCGCAGTTACGCATGAACTAGTATGGATGCAAATCTTTCAGCTTATGATCATTCAGTCAGTATCGTAATTAATTTGCAGGGATAAAATGTAAGATCATTGGCGTTCTTAAATTAGGTATCATTTCCAACAATGTCTCAAGCTAGAGTTTTAAAAGTTACGTTTTGAAAGAATACTTTCTTTTTCCCTCTCTCTATTTTCTAAATTTTTTTTAATGGTTCGATTGCACTTAATTTTGATTTGTATGAGATAGAAATAAACTTTGTTCGACTAGTCATAAGTAGTTAACTAGTAGCATTTCATAGACTTAGAAATAACGTTAGTTGCGGAGAAAGTACAAATTTGTAAACCAAAATAGATCATTTTTTGACGTGGCCGGTGATACACCAAATGAGATGAAGTACACACTCCTTTTAACTTTGATATAAGTATTTGAGAGCATGGTCCATTGCAAACACTATCATCTTCTTTATCTGTTCAAACCAATGCAAAAATAAATAAATCAAAATTTAGAGATGAATTGAGTTTTGCACAAAACAAAAAAAACAGAAAGAGAGAGAGTACAACAACAAAAATACCTCTAACTTGTCATTTTTTGTATCATGGTTTGGTGGAAGTAGACCATATTCATTTGATAAGCGTAAACACTCACTCACATTTTCAGGTGAGACAAACCCATGCCCTATCTTTATGCAAGACTGCAAGAAACAAGAGAGCTACAATGACCTCAATTGCTCAAATCCACTGAGTCCTAAGCAGAAAAAAAAAAGTAAAATAAGTTAACCTTCAAATTTCTGACTTGATGAGGGCAACCTGCAAGAACTAAAACAGTATCTCCAAGCTTCTGAGTAAAGGTCCATGGTTCAATGCCTACGCATTACACAGCCCATGAATATTACCAAAACTGCCAAGTTAAAGCGGAAAGAAAGAAAATGTGGTTGGTTGATTGATAAAGTTCAGCATACCAAATTCTTCTTTCAGCTTCCTTTTATGGTACCTCGTCAATTAAAAAGTCTCGTCATGGATCGGATGAACAACCTAAAAGATGAAGATGAATGAAGATATAGATAGACTGGAAACATATATGCAGAACATATATTCAACATAGGACGAGAGGAAAAATGTATACCTGAGTTAAGGGGCAACAGTACATATGTCTGAACTCCTTGTGATGTTTCTCGAGGCACTTTTCTAATTTTGGAACATCTTCTCTACGGAAAATGTCCCAAAGAGCCCCTTCATCAGTTTCAAAATATTCGACTTCTTCACTAGTTTGTTCAAGAACCTCATTGTTTAACTTCTGAACAAAACAGCTCCCTGAGATCTTGTTCAGCATGCTGCTCTTTCAGTTTTTCTATTCTTTTCATTGTGTTCTTGTTTTTGATGGGCACTTCACATATGTGCATTAAAACATTCACCTGAATAAACCAGAACAGCAATTAATATATTAGAAAAGTTAAGCCAGCAACGGCAAAATGAATTCAATTTCATTGTTTTCGCCTGTGACAACAAAACAAACAGACATGTTGTGTTCTGAAAAATATAGAGCACTAGCAGATTTCTCAAAATACAGCATTAAGAATCCACTAGCCCATACTGTTGCATCTCTTCCAGATTTATTAAAAGAATCATCCTCCAAAGGTCTGAGAAATGATCCACCATCAAAACTAAGCTTAGCAAAGTATATTGAATGAAACTATGACAATGGTTGGTCCAATCCTATGAGGAAAACAAAAACTTCCAGTTAGATATCATGATCTCAAAATCCTAACAGAAGATTGTGGAGATTCACTTGATTCTTAGCCTTAGAACGGGAGATATGATTCAACAAATCTAAAGAAAGCTCCAAAGGAGCTGGGTATAGCTCAACTCAAATTCGAAAAAGATAATTTTCCCGAAAAACAGAGATCAGCAGAAAACAGAAAGACATGATCATGATATATCAATGAACTGATCCAGAAATGAAGTAAGATCAAACTAATCCTAAATGTAATACAGAAAAATCTAATGAACTGCTTTCTGAACATGTTGTTTTGACAGGATCTGGAATCATTATGGTATACCAAGAAAAAACATTCAGAAGAATTGACAAAACTATAACAAAGAAAAGAAAACAAACACGAGAAAAGACAAATCATGTGGGTACTAAGTACTAACCACATCAGAGAAGTCGCAGTGCAGCTTAGTGACAGAATCTCCACGACCAAATTCTTCAGCAAATCCATAAGGTCCATAACCTGGGTGAGTATTTGGCCCCATGTCCGGCTCCAAGCAACTTTCGGGAAATTTTACAGCGAGATTCAAAGGTCCATAACCTGGGTGAGTATACTGCTTCAAAGGCAAACTGCATAAGAACTCCTCCCAATGGCGTGGCGAGTTATCTTTGAAGGACTTAGCAAGAAGCTGATCTTTCAGTTTCAGAACTTGTGGCCAATCCTTGCAATCATAACGGCCTTCTGTATAACCAGTAAAGAATTCACGAGGATGAATTGTTCCCTGCACCCAATACATGTCATTAGATAAACAAGACTATAGTAAGAAGTTACAAATCTGAAAAGAAAAAACTGTGCCATTTTGTATTCTTGTGAGATTTTCAGCAGTTTCTTTCCAAACAACCACTAATTCTACATGTATCTTCCAGAAAACGAACTGACCCGAATCAAAATAAAACAGTTTACTAGGTTAGATATGTAATATTGACGTCGATACAATTTAGATTAACATTAGCTACTCAAGTATCGGAATCATCAAAATAAAGTACTTGATAGTTAAAAAGTAGACTATGATTAAAGCTATGAAGTGTTTAGGCATTGACAAACTTACATAAGAAAGGAGACGGACCCTATCTATATGCAATACAATTAATGAGGAATATACTGACCTCAGAGATGTCTAGACAATCAACAACATTAACTTCAGGACGTATTCCATGCTCGGTGAAGTTTATCTGACGGTAGAGACGCCACATTACAGTTGGTTCCCAGCTTAAAACAGGTGTAACTTCGAGCGCATTCCTCACAACCACAGCTCACCTTTTACCCAGTGATGCTGAAAATGATTCAAATCATCTTGTTGAACATCTCTTACACTTGGACAATATAGATAATTGTCTTCTGAACCTTCTCGACAGGCAGCCTTTAACCGTTTATTGTTGGCTTTATCAATGTATCCATGAGAGGTAACACAAGGGCATCGCTCCATAACCGTTTCAGGTAAATCCAAAAGCTTGTTAGCTTCAGCAGCATTTTCTACTTCCTTGACCAAATCAGACGCCCAGTCAATTGGAAGTATACGTTTTAACTCCAAATCACCACCACCACAATAACAACTAATGCTTCCAGTTTCCTTTGTTTCCACATAGATGAGAGCTTCACACGGTCTTCATTACTCGGCTTATCATTTGTCATTTCAATAACCTTTCCCTTTTCTCCATGTGCATACTCTAAACCTCTGTTAATATAATAATTCCAAGATACATCCTCTTGACATGCCTGAAGCTTTTCATTACGGATCTCGAGGCAACATGTAAGACAGATATCAGACGAACAACTAGAGCAACTCCTATGAATATCAAAGATTGGGGTCTTGCAAATGTCGCTGTAAGCCAAAGGAATCAAAACAAGAAAGATACAAGTTACTAACAACATAATGATCTAAAGAATTGCCATATTCGTTGCAACAAAAATGTCAAAGTAACTTACCAGTGTAGTCTTTCATCAGGTAAACAATTAGTGGCTTGGGGCTTCACCTCTTCAATCTCCATCCCTGTCAAATTAAAACAACAATAAGACATCCTTTTGCTAGTATAATGAAAATACTTAGTTACACATAATAGCAAGACATTGAGACAAAAACCAATCAAACCATCAAAACCAGCAAGAGAAACTGCACCGTTTCAAGCACAACTAAAACTCAGAGAAAGTATCTAAAATATTATTCATGCCCAAGCATCGGCTGCAATTGCAAATTTGCAAGTATTACAGCAGAATGGACATTTCTTGGCAATAGTTTCTTCTGCTATAAGCGGGTAACTATAAATAGCAATCAAACAAACATCTCTCAGGCTTCTGTAAGCGGGTCACTAAGATCACTAGCATCAACAGAAATTAAGTAAGCGGGTCACTAAGATCACTAGCATCAACAGAAATTTTCTGCTTAAAAGCTAAAGCCTTTGCCTTTCTTCTCCTCAAAACAAGACCAAGTTTTTAAGAACTAAACCATTCCAAAAACAAGAAACCAAGAGTTAGCTCCGTGTTATGGTAAGAAGAGCATACCCAATTCGTAAGCATGCGATGCAATAAAGCTTCTTCCTGCAATGCTTACATTCCACGACACTTCCTCTGTCGGTCCGTTGACACTGGTGGCACATTTTGGACTTGGAAGTTTCAGCATTTTTCTACAAATCCGGGTAACAAATACAAATTACTGAACCAAGTCACATTTTAACCTAGTATTGATGGATAAAGGAGGAAACTTTACAGAGAAAATCACAGAAGTTGTGGTATGTAGTCCTCTGCTTCTTAGTTAACTGAAGTGGCTTGCTTCCATAATCTTCGTCTTCTTCAGCCATGGGGTCTCTGTAATTCCTCATCTCAGCAACTTTTCGAGCGAGAACTAGAGAGGTTTTAGATAAAGTTTACTCCTTTACTCAAATTTCTCAACACAATCCATCTTCACGATACTCTCTCTTTTATACACAAAGTGGGAAGGATTATCAGTGGACACCTGTCCGGCTCAGTCATCACATTGGGATCCTAGAGGGTAAAAATCGAGTTTTGTACGAACGAACGATCTTATCTTTTTGCAGTGATCCACTGGCATAAACGTTCTTCATTGTCTCTTCCTCCCTCACACTTCTGAGAGATTGAGCTCACGTGTGTGTCTTTGTTTCTCTTATTCCAATTGTTGGGCTTGTATAATGGGCTTCGTTCTACTTGTTGTTGTTGTTGCTGGCCCATGTAATTTTAACCTACGAAAAAGTAATGTATTTAAAAAAAGGTCAAGAAATGTATATTGGGAAACTGTGAATGTTAATTTATTAAAATCGTTATCGTTATTCAAGAGTTACTTAACAACTTTTTTCTATTTACGTAATAGATTTAAAATTACTAGGGTAAAGTGAAAAAGGTTAAATTTAGATAGAAAATGTAAAATACATCTTTATGAAACAAAAATAAAAATTCTGAAATGTAGTTTATTTCTTTTGAAATAGATAAAAATCTATAAAACCAAAAATACAAACATAAACGTAAAAGCTTTTCAACGTAACCATCAATATAAATCATCACAATCTAGTTGCATCGGTTATTTTTTTTGTTAAAGCTGCATTTGATAAAATCATTGTTACTTTTTTGTAAAACACGGTTATGAACGATAATGTGGCTGCATTTGATAATATACTCTCCAAGTTTTTTTATTCCCCTTAATCTCCAAATTATATCTTTCAAATTGAACCAACATATAAGGAAAAGGAAATTAATATTAATTAGAGCAACGTAAACGAGCATGTACAAAGATGCAAGTTATAGCAATATACGTATAATCACGTAATATTCGAGAAGTACATATCTTGCGAAAAAGAAGAAAAAAGAGAGAGTTTAAATTCCTTAACTCATTTCGATACGATTCTATATTTCTTCAACTCCCTAAGCCCCAATTTATGTCCAGGTTCAGAGTTCTCACACTCTCCTCCCATCTTATTACCCCCCCCCCCCCCTCTCACTCCATTATAAATACATATGCCACTCTTCCACTCTTTTCTCAAACCCTAAAGACAAGTCTGAGTTCATATATATAGTAAATTACTAAATTTCTGTGATATTAGTTCAAAAGAAAAAATGGATAAACTTACAATGAAGTATCACCTCGATCAAATATTCTCAAGAGTTCCTTCGAACACTTCATTGAAAAAAGGTTCTCCATTTTCGTAATTTTTTTTTACTGAAGTGTTTGGAGGAACTCCAGATGATATTTGGTAATTTCAAGCTATTCAAACTTCGTCTGGTAATTCTCTATTGTTACTACTTACTAGCATTTTTTTGTTGTTATTAACGCTTTTACTCTATTTATTTTCCAAATTCGTTATAATTACTTTAGTCATATGCAATATTTGAATTTAGTCATTTGAAAACACACACATAGCCATGACTATTACAAGAATTTGTATTTCTAGGATGGGATTTTCTGTCGTAAATCTTAGTCATTCGTCGCAAAATTTATTTGGGATGAATGTGCATCAAAACAAAATTAGTTGAGAATTTTCATTGCAGGAATCAAACAGCTAAAACTTGGTGACAATGATAATTCCGTCCCTAATTAAAGAGGAGTTTAGAGCGGATTTATGACACATTATAAGAAAATGACTTCTAATTCTTTGTCATCCAAATATCCCTAACATTTTAAGTGGTAACCATTTTGGTTTAGAAAAATAAGAGAAATACTTCTTTGCTCTTCAAAATATTCACCATTAGATATGTGGACCCATACAATTCTTCAAACATTCCTCCTTCTTCATATAGAAGTATAGAACAAACTTGTTCATCATCAAAACTAAAGAGGAATAAAGAAGAACACAAATGAAAATGTTCACAAAATCTGATTTGAATAAAATAAAAAGAATAATATACAAAAATGTGTATTGTAGTATATGGAAGTCAAAAACGCACACAGTAGCACCTTTTCCAAAAAAAAAAAAAATGCATACACTCATAAAGCCTAACTAGTTATGTTGCTACTTCACCGAACACGTCGACATCTTCTAGTAGACAACACCGCATCAGCAACCGGAGCTCTAACTCTCTGTTTCGCCGTCAAAGAAGAGGAAGAAGATGTCAATGTCATGACCGAGTTTGAAGTAGAACCCGACTTCAACGTCATCTCCAACTCTTCAAGAGTAGATAACACATCATACATCTTTGGCCTCAACTTAGGTTCTTGATTAAGACATTGCAACGCAGTATTAGCAGCCAAACAAGCTCCTTTGTGAGGATATTGTCCCCCAAGCTTTGTGTCCATTATCCTAAACACTTTCCTTTTGTCTCCTAAGTAAGGTCTTGACCAATCAACCAGATTTCGTTCCACTCCTACTTTCGATTTGTCTATGGACGGACGTCCCGACAGTAACTCGAGCAAGACCACACCGAAGCTGTAGACGTCGCTTTTGGCCGTTATCCGACCAGTGGCAACGTATTCAGGTGCTGCATAGCCTTGAGTTCCCATCACTTGGGTTGATACGTGTGTTCTGTCTCCAGTTGGTCCTACTTTCGCCAATCCAAAATCAGAAAGCTTTGCATTGAATTCCTACGTAAAGATGGACATATAAATCAAACAGAAATGCTCGAGTCAAAACCAAAACCATTATATGTTTATGATCCGATTAGTTTTATTTTTTCAATCAAAAATTCAACAAATACTTTTGTTTGGTTTGTACTAAATCTCTAACATTTTTAAGATTGAAATTTGACGAACAAAAACATGTATACTTAGTTGTTCAATCCTACCGAATCAAGTAAAATATTGGAGGCCTTGAAGTCTCTATATATGACTTGAGCGTCATGAAGAAAAGCAAGCCCTCTCGCCGCACTAATGGCCACTTTCATCCTTGTTCTCCACGGAATCGGCTCTGCCCCACCTACACATATAATATGTCTTGATTTCAAATTTTTAAAATAAAATAAAAAAATTGTGAATATAAAGCCAACTAAATTTTCTAAATCTGTTACACAATAGAAAATATACATTTGAATCTCGATATAACATTTGCAAAGGATCTCATTGATCTTAACTTGAGAGACAAGTTTTCTTACGTCTAAAGAGATGATTCTCCAAGCTTCCCTTTGGCATGTATTCATACACCAAAAGCCGAATAAAATCACCCTTTGAGCAATATCCAATTAGTTTCACAAGATTCATATGGTGAAGCCTCCCAAGACAATCAACCTCCGCCTGTAAAATCAACAATTCCCTCTTTAGGTTTCCATTTTGGTTTCTATTGCTTATGGCCTAAAGTTGATACATATCGAGAGGATAATTAAATAAGCGTACCAACCACTGCCTGTGTCCTTGAAACCCGTCTTCATTAAGTTTTTTGACAGCAACGACCATGCCTGACCCCGGTTTTGAAGGCGATAAAGTGCGTTCATCGATCCATCCTTTGTAGACATAACCAAAACCGCCTTCACCAATAACACTATCGGGTCTGAAATTCCTAGTGGCTGTCTTTAGCTCGTTAAATGTAAACGCCTTTAGCGTGGGAGATGCTAAGAGCTCTCCTTCACTTCTCGGCGTTTGAAGAGACGCCAAACTTCTGTCGTCGTTGTAAGATGGTGATTGTATGGTTAAGCTTGAAAACCGAGACGATTGACTTCTTTTGGCAGAGATTCTTGATAAACCTGATGAATCAACACTTTATCTAATCAAAGAACTCAATTTAAGACTTTATAATCAAAAGTAAGATATGACAACAACTAGAGAAATCTAAGAGAAGAGAGGTGTTTTGTTGCATACCACGACAAGGACTTTCTCTGCTATCTACTTTTGCGGAAGAATCAAAGCAATTGCCCATTAGAGACAATCAGAAAAAGAAAAAAGCTTGGATGCAAGAACTGAAATCAAAAGTATCATGTCCGATGAAGCAAAGATGAGAATCTGTATACAGGACAAAAGATTAAAAGTAAAGCAGAGAGAAGATGGGAAGAAGAAACAGAGGATAGAGACATAGCAATGTAAAAGCAAACAGGGGAGAACAAAAGGAACATAGAAGACAAAAGAAAAGCAAATGAGATGGTCAAACAGAAACAAACGTGTGCACCACTCAATACTCTTCTCTGATTTGGTCTGCTTTCATATATCCAAAATATCTTTGACCAAAATCATATATCCAAAATATAGTATGTTACTACTCAACTTAATTGTTTAATTCCCTTTTGTTAATATGCAAAAATGTTCTACAAAATACATCAAAACAGAGAAAAATATCTGATAATATACTCTCCAAGTTTTTTTTATTCCCCTTAATCTCCAAGTTAACTCTTTCAAATTGAACCAACATATAAGGAAAAAGAAAGTAATATTAATTAGAGCAACGTAAACGAGCATGTACAAAGATGCAAGTCATAACATAAAAACGTATAATCACGTAATATTCGAGAAGTACATATCTTGCGAAAAAGAAGAAAAAAAAAAAGAGAGTTTAAATTCCTTAATTCATTTCGATACGATTCTATATTTGTTCAACTCCCTAAGCCCCAATTTACGACCAGGTTCAGAGTTCCCACACTCTCCTCACATCTTATTACCCCCTTCACTCCATTATAAATACATATGCCACTCTTCCACTCTTTTCTCAAACCCTAAAGACATGTTTGAGTTCATATATATAGTAAATTTCTGTGATCTTAGTTCAAAATAAAAAATTGGATAAACTTACTAATAAAGAAGAACACAAATCAAAATGTCCACAAAATCTGATTTATATAAACAAAAAGTACATAATATACAAAAAATCAAAAATATGTATCGTAGTTAGGCATGTCAATCGGGCTAGTCCGCCCCGGCCCGAAGCCCGCAATTTAAGCCCGGACCTGTCCGGTCGGTACAAACCTGTTATACAATAACAAATATACATTTGAATCTTGATATAACATTTGCAAGGCTCTCCATGATCGTAACTTGAGAGACAAATTTTCTTACATCTAAAGAGATGTATATTTAGTTATTCAATCCTACCGAATCAAGTAAAATATTGGAGGCCTTGAAGTCTCTATATATGACTTGAGCGTCATGAAGGAAATCAAGTAAAAAGGTCACATTTGCTTAGACATACTGAGGGAAAAAATTGATGTTTTCGGATTGATACATCTGAGTGATGATCTGCTGATTTCTCTCGAGAAAAGGTTTTACTCTTCATCATTCTCTTATAATTTTCATCTTTTACTTTTTTTTGTGTGTAAGTTGCTTAAGGAACATTATTTGGGCAAAGATGATCAATAATTTTGTGTCTGGTTCTACATCAGGTTTTTTTTACATCGTCTTCTTACTTTTGATTTGATGTCTTGTCTTTTCGCTTATTGATGGTTTTTCTTTTTGCAGGACAATTTGTTTCTGAACCATCAGTTGAGAAAGCTTTGTTGGGGAGTCAAAAGAACAAGGCTGTTTTATCTGAACCAGTCACAAACATAGTGAAGTTTGTGGTGAAGAATGAGAAGAAGAAATAGTTGAGAAAGTATGTTTATAATTATAGTTTTGAGTATTATATTTGGGTATCTTTTAGGTTTTTTGATATTTCGGTTAATAGTTTGGTTATCGATTCGGATCGGTTTCAGTTAGTTTGGATAGGAAATTTTTACTAACCATTCAGTTATTTTAAAAACTTTGGTCCATATACGGTTCGGTTTTTTTGGTTCGGTTCGGTCGGTTATTCGTACTCAAGTCGCACTCAAATAGTTTTGTCATTCCACAATATAAGATAGTCACATCACATCCAAACCACATTAGACTATCCTCAACAATGGTCTCTTAGTATTGGCTCTTATGATTTGTTTAAATGTTAATTTTTAAAAAATTATACTTAAGAGATTGTGTAATGGTTTTAATTTTTTTGTGTGTCTAAACGTACTATTAAGTTGTGGTTTTTAGGACCCCCGCGATATCGTTAATTTTTTAATAGTAAATCAATATATATTTCACAAATATTATGATAAAGAGAACGCTCACAAGCATTTATTAAGTATATTACTATTAGAAAAACTTTGTGGTGAGAAATGCGATCATAAGTAAAATATTAAACGAAGAATTATAGTGAGTATACATAATTTTTCAATTTCTTAAAGAATTATAAATCAAATAATATAAATATATGCAACAAAAAAACATTATGATAAAAGCAACATTTTAAGAGACATTTCTCATTAAAAAATTAACAAATAACAAAAATTGATAAATATCTAAGAAATAAATACATGATAGTAAAGTATATACATGAATGCTAGATAGCGAAAGATTGCAATGGTTCATGAAATAAACTAAAAATTGCAATGGTTCTACTAAACGGTGACAACCATTTTATGAAACGTTACAATAAAAAAATGCAATTGTAAAATAAAATTATTCGGATTGAGGCTTTCTAAAAAAAACATAATGTAATATTTATTTTTAGTTTTAAAAAATAAATAAAATATTACGATATAACAAAAGTTGCAACGGTTCATCAAGTTCGTCAACTAAACTATAGATTACAACGGTTTGTAAAACAACACTAAAAGTTGCAATGATTCATCAAATAAACTAAATGTTGCAACGGTTCAATTAAACGGTTATAATCTCATTTAAATAATTTTTAGTAATTAAAAATTAAAAATAATAATTTATGAAAAGTTACACCGAGAGACACAACAGTAGATAATTAAATGTTATAGCGATTTATAAAATAGACTAAAAGTTACAATTGTTCGTGAAATAAACTAAATATTGCAATGGTACGAATAAATAGTTGCAACTATTTATGAAGAGTTACAGTAAAATGACGAAACCATATAAAACATTTATTTAGATTGCAATTTTCTGCAAAAAATATAACTGTAAAAAAAAATTAGTTAAAAAAAACCAACAATAAGTTGCGATAGAAAGTCATACTCATTCACGGGAGGTGTAAAATGTATTTATTGAGATTGATTTATTATTAGAATTAGATTTTGCACGACAATTTTTGTGAAATAGAGAGAGCAATATTTTCCGCATTAAGTTCCTGTTTGTCAATGTATGTTCGGCCTTGTCCATTTGAAGTGAGTACTTAATTAGGGAACTAAACCTCAATGCACATGGCCACAGACCTAGTTCTTCTTTACAGGTAATTATTAATTTGGTAATGTCATTAAATATATTGTGATACGTTTTAAAAATAATTGTTCTTAGAGGAGTGGAATTGCGTGTTGGCATATGAAGAACTGTCACCCAAAATGCCAAAGATTTTAAATTTGCGTATAAGAAAATATCCTTAGAAAATTGCAGTAACGCATAATAAAACATTAGATTAAGGAAATGCACATGATCCCATGAGGATTTTTGGATTAATTAGTCCAAAATGGCGCATTTTACAAGCTTAATATTCCTCGGTGTTTAGTTGTCAACGTTAGAATACGAAGATAATCCTCTTAGCTTTCAGATTCTGTCGCTTTCTTGTTCCCCAATCAATTTTTTAACCCATCCCACCGTAAACTAATCATTAATGGAAACTTTATCACCTTTCCATGTTCCACAAGTTTATTTAATTTAATGCCATGTAATTCCAGTTTAACTCGTATTTTTATATAGGACTAGTCATTGTTAATACTCTTTTAGGTTTTAATTTACCTGTCAAATTAGGTCTTTTTACACATATTCGAAAAACAAAAAACAAAAATCATAGACTCTATATAGGTGTAATTACTAACATTGTATCGGTGCGATACAACATGTACCACTTACTAAAACACCGCTCCATTCAAGGCCTAAGTTAAACGGTAAAGATATAAGGTAAAGAGCACTGTTACTGACATTGCCCGACGACTCCAAAATTGGTCCCTTGGTTCAAAGCTTTTGTAAGAGATAGTGTTTTTTATTTTCTAATAGATGGCTTATTTGAATAATAAATTTGGAGTCGTCGGGCAATGTCAGTGTCGATGAAAGGGTAAAAAGTGTTGGGTCCATTTTCAGAAAGAGAATGACCACTTTCCAACCCTATTTGTCTGCATCCTCTCCTCGGAATCTGTAAATTGATGCTTCTTTCTTTCACATTTTACTTCAACCGTACCATTTAACTATATGATTTCTACAGTTTATAACTTATCTAGAACAGGAAAAAAATTCATGATCTGCGTTTTCTTAAAAAATATTGTACCACTTATCGTAATTAATGATCTATTTTAAGACTCTCCCCTTTATTTTTGTTCATCTTATAGACTAATTTATGACAAAAGCATAATTTGTTTCATGGAAAAGTCTTTTTAGGTGGTTTTTTAATTTTTAATTTTTAGCGTTTCTGGATATTAGTTGTACGATACAAAACCACATGGTTCAGACTTTTTTTTATGTCTAATCATATGGCCCATATGATTGATTAATTATTATATAATATGATGAATATTTCCCCCACTATCTTACATCACATTACCCAAAAAAAACTACTAGTGTGATTTTTAGCTTAGTTGGTGCATATAGACTAATAAATATAGATTCTTGAAACATGAATTGGTTCATCTGACCACTTAAAGAAAACGAAAATTTTAATACAAATAAAAAAAGATCGACCACATTTAATTGTAATGTTGTTGTTGGTCAAGCCATGGCCAGAATCCAGACTGGTCATCAATTCCACAGAACATGTTGCTGATACTGTTCTCTTCTTTCACCATTCTCTGTTCTGACGATGAATTCTGAAAGAACTGCATCGTTGTAGTTGTCGGTGGATGGCCTACTGCAAATTGGCTATCGATCTCCGGTGGTCTGATGTCACCCGAAATGTTCTCACTTCTGTCACTACATGATCCTTCTGTTTCTTTGTTTAGATTGATTGATTCTATTGGTTCTCTGCTTTTCAATGCCATTACCTGCATTATTTACACAAAACGCAAAAATTGCCAAATGAATTCAAATTATGTTTTGACCAAAAAAAAAAAAAAGATTACAAATGCAATTTGAAACTGAAAGAACAAGAACAAGATCAATAATAAAAATAAAAAAAAAGCATTGCTACAATGTGAAGATTGTTTCAATTCAACTATAAAAGATCCATATTCTATGAAATTCAAGATTTAAAAAACAGAGTATTTTAAGAAAAGAAAAAAAAAACAGAGTATTTTTTGTGTTATGAAGTTTCTGTTTTTACCTGAGCTTGAAGCTTTTGGTTTTGAGTTTGAAGAACTTCGTTCTCATCTCTGAGACTTTCGAATTGACGCTTAAGCATGTCATAGTCTTTCTCAAGCTGCTTGGTTTTAGATCGAGCTCTTCTGTTTTGGAACCATATAGCAATCTGTCTAGGTTGCAATCCCAAGGCACGAGCCAGCTCTAATTTTCGATCTGATTCAAGTTTATTACCAAGCTCAAAGTTCTTCTCTAGTGCTTTCAATTGTTCCACGTTCAATCTCCTCTTCTTCTCTCCCATCTTAGATCCATCGTCTGAATATTCTTCATCTCCGTTCATATCTAGATTACAAAACCCTTGTACGTTGTTCATTGGAGATCTCTTACCTAGAAACCCTAAAAACAGAGAAGATCTTGAGAAGTAAAAAAAAAAAAGGGTTAGGAATTTTGAAAACGGTGTTAATGCGATGATGTAGTACCATGGAAGTCTTGAAGAAGTTGAGGATGATCTTCTTCTTCTTGGTGATGGTTTTGGAGAGTGAAATTTACAGGGAAGAAAGCTAAGCCATTATTATTACAAGACATGTCTCTTGTCGGTTGTTTTCTTCTTCTCCACCACCTTTGTCTTGGTTCAAAGTACAGAAAGAAAATTAGATAAAGAAGAAGAAGGATGGTGGTGAAATGAATTAGACTATACACCACTTATAGGCTAAATACTAGCTAAGGCTAGGCTAGGAATTTGGTTTTATTTTGTTTATTATATGAGTATATAAAATAGGAGACAAGACTCGAAGCTGATGAGAGAGAGATGATGATGATTTTGATCGTCAAGAAGTATATGCAAGTAAACTCTTAGAGGCCCTACATGGTATCACTTGTCTATGTCTCAATGGTATGAAAGCAAACTCTTAAAGGTCCTACATGGTAATTCTCACTAGTCTATGATATGATTAGACTTCTTCTTTTGAAAATCTTTTATAACATAACATGACTTTTTCTCTTTAGTAGGTAAACATACTTTCGGGGGACACAAGAGTTCTCATCACTGCAGATTGTGTTACTTTGACACAAAGCCCATTTTATATGCGAGGCCGGTTTCTTCCTTCTTCTTTTTTTCCTCAGGTCCCAATTATCAACTTTCTTAGTTTCTTATACATTTTGGTCGGTTTTATGATAAAGTACTTTAATATAGGCCCTAGGCCCAACTACTTTACAAATTGGTCGCCCCTATCAAACTATTTTGTTACCAACAAGTTTATAATCTAAAAGTTTACAAATTGTGTTGAAACTATTTTAATTTATAAATTACCAAGAGTTTTTTTTCTATGAATTTTTTTTTTTTTATGAATTTTTTTATGTACCATGAGATATGAGAAGTGCAATTTAACGACATACAAACAAACGCATTTACATAAAGATACACAATTTTTTCATTTAGTATCAAAAGGCGTTGACAAATGACAAATATATATTTTTTCATTTGTTACTTAATAAAAATCACATTGCATGCCTATTCCTTCTTAATGTATATGGCTAAAGCCAATTGTTGAAAGGGAACAACAAGTTGTATGGTCTTGACTCTTGAGTAGAACAAGAAAATCACATTACAACAACAGAAAAGGAAAGGAACTCTAGCCAGGAATTGTGCCAATGCTCTTTTACTAACATAATTAGCCTAGGCTCATTAGTCAATGATTTTAGGGTTGATAGTAAAGGTATACGTTCCGAAGTATTTCTCTAGGTTTAAATTTAGATGGGTTTCTTGTAGAATTTGTGATAACTCAAAACGATTAGATTTGTCGAAAAAAATGTTATAAACAAATAATAAATTGAGAGATTATCATTAAAAACGTGTTACCATCTCCTGAACGTGTATCACACTATGACATGTCTTCAAGTCATACAACTTTTCATCATGTTTTTGAATTCGTCTAAAAAATAATATGCACACCAGCACTTAGTCTTTTGTGCTCATAGTCATAAATAAAAGGGTTAATTACGGGCCAGGCCCATGTTTTATGTTTTTCTTTCAGGTTTTGACAAAGTGGAGAAAGGCTTTCACCATTTGACAATTATGTCAATTTCGGACGAAAATGCCCTTCTAGCCGAACCGGTGTACAGTGACAGCGAACGAAATCGTCAGGCGAGTTGGTTACGTACACAGTATCTCGTTAGCTACAGTTGTTTAGTTTTTTAATATTTCCGTCGGGTGTACAGTGTACCGCGAACGAATAAAAGAAATAAAATATGGTGTCACAAATGGTTTAAATGCTGAAAAAGTTGAGACATGACTCATTCCAACTATAATCAATGCAAACTCATCATTACATCTTATTTTAATCCTCTTAAATCATAAAATCGTACACTATTTAGATTTTATAAAGAGAAAGAAGAAAAAACATAAACTTCCCCTAAATATCTATGAAGGAATGAGATTGAGGCCATTTTGATCTTGTTGTTTAACAAAGTTTGCAGGCGAGAAAGCAGTGAGCGTGGTAAGTAATGAAGTTGTAAATATAAATTTTAGTTATTACATACACTTTCAATGAAAACAAAATTGATTTGGATACAAAATTGCAGGAAATTGATTTATTCCTCTCTTAATTCTATATTTGTTCTGTAGTAAATATTAAATGAGGAGATTCAATGTGCATTAAGTGTGTAGTTGCAAAGTCTTTTTTTAGTTGGAGGTATAAAAGTTGTTCTCAGTTGCATTTAATGGGGTTCTCTTGAATTTATGATGCAGGATGTTAATGGAGATTCCAGTATTTATTATGATTGGTGATTGGATAGTAACAGAAGAAAAATAGAAATTTGAACCTGAGAAAGGAAGCTATGGTCGGTGTGTACGTGTTAGGGAAAACATGACGTACACGGATTTGGCACGTACATTGTGTGAGGTTTTCAATTTGAAGTACAAAGAATGGCAGCCAATAATTAGTTACTAGATGCCGGAAAATATGTCAATTATGATAGAACGTACACGCCCTCCTGTCTACATTGACAATCAAATGAGCTTGGATACATTCTTCCTGATTCGTGTTGGGGATCCAAGTGTCAACTTGTTTGTGTCTTTCAATAGTACTGTAGCCGCCACTAATGTGGATGTAGATGAGCAAACTGACATACATGATGAAAAAACAAATGAAGATTCAGAGGATGAGGAGAACGAAGAGGTGGATGGGGAAGAATTGAATGACAGCGACGAAAACATTGAAAAAGATGACGATGTCAGTGGTGGCTATAGTGCGGGAAGTACTCTCGACCCTACTATAGACGGCAGTGAAGGTAGTGGTGAAGATTACGAGTATAACAAGTGGAATAATTTTATTGTAGAAGAATATGGAGTTGGCCATGTTGAGGAGGAAGTGTGTGACACTCAACCGACCGTGGAACCGGCAGGGGAATTCAATCGTCTATTGGCAGAGTGTACGAACACAAGTCAACGTGTACGTACAGGAGAAACCACTGCGATTTTTAGTGACACTCAGCCAACTGTGAATTTAACCCGGACGTGTCAACATGGATTGTTCCCATTTCTTGGTTCATTACCCTCCACAAGGAATTTGTACAATCCCTCTAATCTCGTACCATGTATGTTCCACTAAATATTGTTGTATACGTATAAGAGATTTTTAGGATGAAACTGTTTAGTTGGTCGTGTACGTGTACGTGTATCTCAGTATAATCATAATCGTGTACGTTTACAAGTTAAGTTTGAAACCTTATTTCTTCTCCAGCAACAATAAAGTGCAACATAACATTCATTAATTAATTTTGAAATACAAGTTCCATAAAAAAGACTATAATACTATATCAAAACAAAAATGTCGTAATTAAAAAATATATCATATTAAATATAAAGCATTTGGCTAACTCGCCGTGCACACAACCATAGATAGCAAAAATTGCAAGAGATTCTTATAAAATATCGAACATGATGTAATATTTCATCGCACATGGCATATGTTCAATGCCACGACAATCAAGAATCCATAATTTGAATTCTTACATATCGTACAACAATTTTTTTTTCCTGATATAGAATCCATAATTTGAATTCTTTCAAAGTATATTGAGCAATATTATTCAAATTAACCTAGGTTCATAATGTAAAAAACATGTAAATATTACAAGTATAGAACCTCCATAATTGTACATAATCTAACAGAGATATACGTCCACAACATCAATATTAAGTACACTTACACGGAAAGAAGTTAAAGGGACAAGTATACAACAAAAGTTACAAAAACTTTCTCCCCAACCGGAAATTGCATACATACACAAAATTATTTTTTGAATAATTTAGTTTTGAAACAGTACACCATTCAATTCTTTTGTATTTCAATCACTTTTCTGTAAGTTATTCCATATACGTACACGAGTTAAATGTAAATTAAGATCGTGTACATGATAAAAAGGTAGAAATTAACACATACAACATGGAAGTGTGTTTACAAACAAAAAACAATTTTTCAGATGACCAACTAATTAGTATTATTACATGTGTACTATATTTTTCATAGTAACATGTACGAGTAACCAATTAATATTATTTTCATGTGCGTGTTATATCAAAAATCAAACTTACTAATTAGAGTAGTGATATAAGAAAATGAAATGTAAATGCATATTATATTTGCATGCCGTTTAGTACAATAGACAAAATTTTAATTCTTTTTATTTATGTTTTAAGATCGATTTTATTATATTTTATTTTTATGTGTATACACCATTAAATAATTAGTATACATATAAAATATTTTACACCATGTATATTACAAATATTCAACCAAAACATGCAAAACATATACGTTTATAAGTCAATGTTTGTATCGAATATATTTCATGTATGTCTATCACTAAGCCATATACGTTCACAACAATATTGAACTAACAACCAGACTGGTCCTTACGATTCGGAGAATGTAAAATATGGGATATGCACTTTATTTAATGTGTTTCTAGTTTGTTGAAAAATAAATTATGAAAAGAAAACAACTAAATATGTTGTGGAGGTATGTTGTGAAAATGTTAATCAACGAAAAAACTCCTTGTGGAGGGTAATGAACCAAGAAAATAATCCAACCTGCAACCCTTCAGATCATACAATAATATTATCTTCACATATTGAGTCCATACTTCTAATTTTTGTAAGATATGTTGCGAAATATTAATCAAATTAACCAAAAGTTTCTAATATACAAACTCTGTAATATTGCGTACATCGTCTCCACAATAGTACATAATCCAACAGACATACACGTCCACATAATAAATATTGCGTACACCGTAAATTGTGTACACGTACACGAAAGAAATTCAAACAAGGACATGATTGTAATTTTGTAGTCATCTTCAACCTGAATATCCTCTTCTGCAACTCTACTTTTTGCTTTTGCTCTCCGACCATGTTCAATACATGCAAATCGATTTCACTCTCAATATCTACTCGCCGACTATCCCTCTTCACCGAGATTTGGGTCATGTTTACGGAAATCCAAATTTCCAAGACACGAAATTCGTCTTCTCGTTGGAGTCATCAACTCTGATACCTTGGAAATTTGTATCTTCTCCTCGCAGGAAATCTTAAATCTGTTTTTACTCGCTTGAAAAAGCATCAATCAAAGATGAATGAAAGATTTAACAAGTAATCTCTGAAACGATTACCTCTCAAATTTTCAGAAAATATCTTGGTGAAGAAGTTGAGATTTTCAATTTCCCTTTTGGTAGAAGAATCAAAATGAGATATTAGATTGAAGAATGGAAACGGTAGAAGAATCAAAATGAGATATTAGATTGAAGAATGGAAACGGTTTGTACTCAGATTTTTCTTCCTCTTTCTCTTCGCTTTCTTCGCCGTTCTTCTTCGCTTTATTTAATTTAAATTCAAAAATATTTACAAACCAAATAAAACAAAATTTGAGAAACCGAACCAGCACAGTTACGTTTCTAGTTGAGGGACATTTTCGTCAGAAATGTGGCTAATTGTCAAAACGTGAAAGCCTTTTCCCACTTTGTCAATTGGTGAGACAAATATTCATTTATGTCCTTTCTGTGAAAATTTCTTTAAATAAAAACAACCAGTGACCCAAAAAAAAAAAAAAAAAAAGAGAGAGAGAATTGATACATGATTATATTTAACTTTCAGGCGCAATTGTTTATGTCTGTTCAAATAAAAGTATATGACCTTCTTGCATTCCATTATATATATTTTCCTTTTATGTACGAATATCTCTACCTTATGAATTTGAGAAACTGCTTTTCGTATTTGCACGAGATATGAAATTCATCTAATTTATTTCAACGCATAATCATAAATGATCTACTCCATTAAACACACCACGCTATTACCGTAATTATCGAGTCAATACGTGCTATAAACTTATAATACACGACGAAGGTCATACATTAATGATCACATGCAAGAGTATTTAAATAAAGTGGCACGACCATACCATACACCATAGATAACATTAAAAAACAGATAATCCAAACTAAACGACCTCGAAAACATCGAGGTCTTCGTCTGTTTCTATCATATTTTAAACAATTTAAATTCAAACACAACTTCTCCACGTTTTTAAATTGTACATACTTCCAAACAGAACTTATTTATTTGCATACATATATTATTCTTAATTTCTTTAAACCAAGAAATTTTGGCATACACCGATAATCTCCTCAGCATGTTTAACTATAGCAAAATATGATAAACGAAACTTATAACAGTTGATCAGTACGTGAAAAAGGAAACGAACTGTGTCATTAATCATAAATATTAGAGGATCTCATGATACAGGCTACTATACGCCAGGTCTGGACCCTCACATACAATTAACATGCATAAATACATACATAACCATATATTAAATATAAATATATGAGTTGGCCTAACAATGACCCGAAACCCTAGCTATATCTCATAATATATGATGTAGAAGTAAACAGATACCCATAATAAGATAAATTTGGTGGCCGGAAATGGATGATTAATAGCTCTCAGATTAAGTAATGTGGATTTAATAATTAAGCAAGCTCCTAATGATGGCTGCTTCGGCGCTGTTGTCATCAGTCGAAGCCAAGAGTTCCGACAAACGGTCACTGAGGTCATCAACCTCTCTGTGTAAGTTCCTGATGTAGTTGCAAGTCTCTTGTAGTACTTTAGATGCTGACACCTGTCCAATAGTTTAAACATTGTATCATTAGTTTTAAAGTACAACAAAACGATCATTTAGATCCTTACAAAGAGTACGTGACAACATGTGCTACTGCTTTCTTTCTTTCTTTGTAACAATTTCATATATATCTTCAAACTTTTAACAGAACTTTAGTTTTTTTCTAATGATTACCACTTCAATGTGCACAACGGTATAAACGGCCAATATTTATTAATCATATTCCTCAGCTATATATAGAATTATGGTGAGTATATAGGTAGGGAAGAGTAATGAGGAGACATGTAGTTAAGGTACGTGGAAGTAGGAAGGGAACAAACTGAGTCCCACATCACCAACTTGTAAAATTTAATTGCAAAAAAACATTCAAAGAACAAACAAGATATATGCATAAATGAGGCTGTGAATTAATGTTACTTTATCTACGTATAGTTAATTGTAGGCCACATGTCTTTACACTACACGCCGTTGGATTTCACCATGCATTTATACTATATGGTTCCTATTCATTTGAACTTTCTAAGTGATCCATGTGCAGGCTAAGTTATACAAGTATACAAAGTAAGTATGTATGTATATGCAAGAAAGATATATAGATTAAATTTTGTTATTTTGAAGTGTATATATACCTTGTCAGAACGGCGGCGGCGGAGTTCAGGGATGAGGTGTTGGAGCTTAGAAACAAGATCGGAAATCTGATCGTCAGAGATTCTTGAGCTTCCTGACTGTCTTGAACGTGATGATCTTCTGCTAGACATCTTCTTACTTGATATATTATTAAGGTTGTTTGTGTGTGTAGAGAGAAAGAGAGAGAGAGAAGAATGCAAGAAGGATAAGTAGTTAATGTGTCAGAGAGAGAATGAGAGTGGAGAAGAAGGTGTTGAAGAGGGAGGAGCAAAGTGGATGTGTTTTTATAATGCAAATTTATGAAGAGAGAGAAGGTGAAGAAGAAGAAGAAGAAGAAGAAGAAGAAGAAGAAGAAGAAGGAGAAGAGACAAGTGCATGGAGGGAGGGTGTGGGTTATGTTTCTTTAATAAGGGCGTCTTTAGCTTTCAAATATTTATTATTATTTGTTCTCAGTTTTTTTCATAGTCGCTTAGTACAAAAAGATACTGTTTATTTTTGGTAAGCTTCTAAACTTACTTTCCCACGAGAACAACTTCTTGATTGTTACATGTGTAAAACTCACCCACGTCAAGTTTTTTTTTCTTACTCTTTTTCTCTTATTCCTGTTCCACTTAACCTTCTTTCTATCGAGCTATTCACATGGTGTAGTATCAACTTAACAAACTTTATTGAAATTTTCAAGGCTACGTGTTAATTTCCTTTTCTCAATATTGAACACATGACTAATCTATAGATGGAAAAGAGTTGATAGAGTTTACAACTGTAAGTCCATATAATGTGGTCTATTTCAGACGACTAGTCCTATTGTATATTTGTATGTCGTCTATAATAAACTATTTAACAAATTTTCTATCTAATAATTTATCTTATTATATATGTCTTGTGATAATATCATAATATATTCGTTACCAAAAGAGTTTTCGTTTCCATACGACGATCAAAACCTATCTAAAGGGATATGATAGAGGTTTCCAGTGACTAGCTAGGTATGGGACCAAAAAAACATAATCGAACCGTAAATATAAAATCCAACCCTTATTTTACTTTGCATATAACGTTTAACCATGGATTGATCCACACACTATGAAATCAAAACCAAATCAAAGTCATCAGTCCACAAAGCTACAGAGCTTTCCAAAATCGGGCCAAGTAGAAATAACTCATTGCAACATTTTTGGCTCAACGCATCCAAGTAGAAAAAATCAAAGAATTAAAATAAGAATAGGGAAAATGACGTAGAAAAGGAGGGGAGGGCCATGGAAAGGAGAAGAGGGATCAAGTGGGGTTTAAAATGGCAAAATGTGTGTTTATCGCCAAACTAAACTGTCCCTCTTTGCCTTCTCTCTCTGTCAGTCTCACCATTGCATCCCCACGTTATATGTATTACTTCCTTGTCCCTTTTTTTAATCACTTCTCTCTTCTATTCTCCTCTCTTTTTTTACCATTTTTATTTTTTATCATTCATACTTTTACATTGAGATTCAATGGTTTTCGAACTTGTATAAAAATGCTCTTCACATATCCATGTTTGATGTAACATCCAAATCTTTGAAGAAGAAATATATGGTTAATTATTCTTATATATATAAGAGTGAATTACAAAATACGGAAGAAAAAAAATTACTGTCATAATTTCTTAGTTTTCTTTAGTGTGGTGGTCTATTTCATGAAAAGAGTGTAGGACATATAGTACAAGAAAAGACCAAAAAATGTTGAAGCCAAATTACGGATCATGTTTTGGATGTTACAATTGACAACTCTGATTTTTTTAAAAATACCTTCCATAAAAATCTGATTTTGAGTATCATGTGGTAGATGCAGAGATAGGCATTTGATTGTCGATTGGATTCAGTTCGTTGATTTTGCATTGCATTTATTATGTGGTAGATGTTTGCTTTAATTCGGTTTTGATCTATTAATCTTATTTCTTTGTTTTCGTTGTCAACAAGATATATATAGGTCTTGATCTATTTATCATAAAAAAACAAAATAAATATAACATTTTACATAACATAATCTTTTCAGCTAAATAATGAAAATATGTACAGTATTTCTTTTTATAAGATTTGTATTGACATAATTTGATTTTGCATGGTTTGGTATCAATAAAGTTTGAAATTAGTATATATATATACATGTTTTGTTTGAAAATAACCCCAAAGCTACAGGACAGATTACTTGTACCGAAAAACTAAATCAACCTCTTGGATTACTATGAAAAGAATCATCCAATTGGAAGCGACGACTACTATAGTTCAGATTCGGATATATATTGATACACACATGTAACATGAAAATACATTGATGAACACACACATTTAAAGCAATAAACAACAAAAACACTATAGGAATTGGATATCTATATCCAATTAGACTATTTGATTCGTCCAAGTCAGAATTCAAACGAGACTTGGAAGGGTTTAATTTGAATACGAAGCTGAGAGAATAATGCGGTTAATTCCGGCGGAGTGAATACAACATGCATATGCTATTAATGAGACCTACCCTTACACGCAGTCCGAGATCAGTAGCTTTCCTATTAATTAGGAACCCCATCTCTTAATTTATGCCGTTTTCTCTGACTTAAATTACATCATTAAAACCCACAAATTTTTCATGAAAAAACCTCCCACAAATTTTGGTTATAATATTTCGAAAAAGAATATGCCTCGAATAAATATCAATTGATAGAAGTTAAATTAACTGACTACTACTAGCTAGCTAGTACTCAGCTATAGAGAGTACACTTGTTTTTTTTATACATTATTGTTTCTTAAAACAAGTGTAGCTTTTTTAAAAAATTGTTATCTGTTTGTGGTAAACCCTAGACCGACCAATATCAAGATTTTAATGAGAAGATGCTTATCACGTCACAAGTAAATAGTAGTTGCGGACATTTCATAGTATGGGTTAAAAGGTTAAAAAAACGATCGAGGAGCCAAACATTGTTGACGGTCAAAGACATATAACGATAAAACCAACCCATCCCCGAGATTTTAAAACATGGCATGTGTTGTCTCTCAATCTCTGTTTTTTCTTCCATTTACAAAAATAATAATAATCATAACTCATTATTTTAATACTTCTACATTAATGGAAGCATATGTTCATATATTCAATTACTTGTGGAACAGTGTAAAGACGATGTTCCAAAAGATCTTTAGATTATTATTACTAAACAACGTTCTTGGAGTTCGGATCACACAGAGAATCTTCTTAATTTTGTTTAAATATTATTAATAAACTCGTTAATTATTGTACGAATACGTGTGTGTGTTGTGGCACCTTCCTGGCCTACGTATTACTAGTTTGGATGTAGGTAGGATCAGGATTCCTTGAGATCGAATCCGATTTGCGTTCTACTTGTTAGTATGATTAGGTTAAACTAAATCTATACTAATAATTGATATTGATTTCGCATGAACTTGACTCTATACCAACCACATATATAAAGAAAAAAGTATATTTTTAACATAGATTTAAATATCATATATTACTAATACACAATTAGTTCAAGAGATTATATATGTATTTTTAATTTGTCGGAATGTCGAGACCGATTTCAAGTACAATAAATATATTGCTGATAGAGTGATCGGTGAGAGGGTTTGTATTTGAAAGAGCTATATCCACTCTCTTTCAAAACAAAAAAAAAAATTAAAAAAAAAAAACTATATCCACTCGACCACTTTCATAATAAAAACAATGGTTACAAACTACAATACTTTTGTTGATTACAAAAAAAAAAAACAAATTACAATACTTTTATGATAGTTAACCTAAATTCCTAGCTAATGATCTCACAATAAGATATGCACAAATCCTTAAAATGTATGATAGACTTTTTGATATTTTTTCGATATATATCTTGGAGATTCTACTAAATTATTTTACAATTGCTACGTTTGAGAAAGACTTGTGCTATAACCGAACTAAGTGGCATGATCTGGTCTTGATTCAAAGAGATAATGAATCTAAAACTTAAAAATCTTCTAGTATAAAAATTTAGAAAACAAGTTAGTATTGTACTCCCTCTGTTTCGAGATGATGTTTGTTTATTTCACACATATTAAAGAAAACTTTAATGTTTAGAACTTCTGGTTATTATCTATTAAAAAATATTTTTGCAAACCTAGAAAATACATCTTTTTGAAACAAAAACTTTTTTTCTAGAAAATACATTAATAAGGAACAGAAGTATTAATTTCCGCATTACAATTGACTTAAACCGTACATTATTTAAACCATCAGTATATGATACCATGATACTAAATACAGGTAAACAAAGAAATGAGTTGGAAATTTTTGGTTAGAAGGAAGAATAAAGCTTAATTGGTCAATATTATATATTAATTACTTTGATAAATGTGATGCAGATGAAAAATTTGAAGTGAAAGAGTACATTTGAACCTGACCCAAAACAGATACATTCATACCAAATTTTGACATTTGGTGATCTGTGCAAATATTAACATGTTTACAAATTTATCTGATGGATCCAAACATGAACATTTGTCCGAAACCCACAAGACTGTTACAAATTTTATGAAAGCAAAAATGATGTAGGGTTGTATGAAACCTCATGTGATGTTTCTGCCACTGTTGTCCTCTCACAAAATCCAATTTCTGGATATATTGATGTCTACACATTGCAATGTAATAGTATTGTTGGAATTTATCAACTATATATACATATGTAATAAATTAATTTTAAAACGGACCAGATAATATCTGAGGGTATAACAATGTACTCCCTCCGTTTCGTTTTAGTTGTCGTTTAAGGTTTTTTCACACAAATTAAGGAAAGCATTAAATTTTCTATTTTACCCTTTATTAATATAATTTATAAAAAATTTCATTGGCCAAAACATTAAAACAGTAGGGATAAAACTGGAATTTTCACTAAACATTTGCATTGAAAACCTAAAACGACAACTATTATGAAACAAAATTTAAATCCTAAAACGACAACTAAACTGAAACGGAGGGAGTATTCATTTTGTACTCAGCCATAAATATTTGGCCAGTACTTTATTACACAATACGTAAGAAAACAAAAATAATTAAAGAAAACTTGTAGTTATTCAAACACTTGGAAGCAAAGAAGGTAATTTTAACTCTTTATTCTTTAAGTCATTGAATAAAACAATCGAGTAAAAATCTTGTGACTTTGACCAATGTCCCTTACAAAATTTTTAAGAAAATCAGCTTAATCCCCAAAGAAATGATAATGTCTTTGGTTCGGGGTTTAGCATAATAGAGAAAACTGATCATTGAATTAAAATACACAAAATTGTCATCTAAACACATTTAAATGTATGTCCATACACTAAAAAAATGATTATACACTTTTTTAACTATATCCATGTAGGTGCTATGAAATACTTCTTTACAAAATCTGGCATTTGAACAAAACTTTGGTTGATTCGGTCTATTGTGCAACAACATAAAACATGATCATTATTCAAAAATTCGAAAACAAGAAGCCAAGATCAAATGATTCAAACCCAATACCCCTAAGCATAATTAAATGGTGTCAAACAAAGCTAGATATTCTCTAGAACCTTCTATTGTATCTTATATTTACGGCCTATAAAATTCATATCGTTTGTGCTACTTGGTAATTTCATTATATCTTTTGTGCTACTTGGTAGTTTCATTATATCTTTTCTTTCGATGGCTTCTTAAACAGTATGTTTGGGGCCAAAAAAAAAAACATTGTGTTTTATACCGACATCATTTTTCAATTTTATAATTGTATTCGTAGTTGAGTTGATTAGACGATGAAAAACAATTCCATAACAAATCTTGGATATGCATGTCCTTGGCCTCATTTTCTTTTTGGTAAATATTGTTATAAACTTGATTACAATATGTTCTCACGTGGTTACTTTCTCTGATCATGTGAAGAAAGACCCCAATTTTATTTCATGCAACTCGACACCGCATTGGTAAAGAAATCGAATTCGATGTGATTCTGATTCATAAAGTGGATATGTGAATCAAATCACGTGTCAGATACTGTTATTGTAAAAGACAATTAAATTGTATATGAAATTTTTGTAAGTTGCAACCAATGGGCTAAACAAGTACTATGTGGTGGTCACCTAAAGTTGTCACACCACTACATTTCCCACACACAAACCTATGGGTTTCTAACTATAAAATTTGAGGTCTATATTATATTAAGAGTCCTTTATAAACCCTAAACAACAGACACAACAAGCCCATCTCCTTTAATGCAGAAGAGGTAGTAATGTTTGGATTTTAAGACTCAAAAACAAACATAAAAATGTAAAATTAAGAGGAAAGTGACAAAAGTGAGGATGAAGGAAGAGACAAAAGTCAACGAAAGTGAAAAGACTAATTGTGTGATTTGAGAGACATGCCTTGTTTTTTTGGGAGAGAGAAGAGCACAAAAGCAGAGCACATGTGTTGTTGCTATTTGCTCCGAGCTTATTTCACTAGTTCAAAATTTGACTATTTGATGCTCAGAACCTGGGATTTTGTCCCGGTGATTATCAGATTTTTGCAGACAATGAAGGAAACAATCCATGATTCAATGTCTCAAACTGTTTTACACTGTTAACTACAATCTCTCTCACTGATAAACACTCAAAACACTGTCTAGGATTCTGAGTTTTTTACTAGACATACATTTACCTTTGTGTTCCCTGGTGTTTAAGGCTTTTGTTGAACAGTTTCTTACAGTATGTGTTAACTTCATTCACGGGAAGCACTTCATTCTCTGTCAAAACACAAGGGACCATAAATGTTACTATAAATGTTCGAGCCTTATCATCAAAACGTGATTCTATAGACATTTCAATCACCTGTCTTTCGACCTCCACAAAAGATGCTTGAAGCCTTCTTCTCAGGACAGATCTTTCTTCTTCACAGCTCTCCATTTTAGTGTCTGAGAAACAAGATTATAAGAACAAAACCCGTGAATTCTCCATGTTAAGGGATCTCTGCTTGTTTGATTAAGAGTACTAATAAAGATTCTTAATTGTCAGCATCAATTTTGTTATGATCCAAAAAACAGAACCAATCTTTCAAAAGGCTAGATCCTGAGTCTTATCACCTAGGACACATGAATGACCTGAATTAAATAAATTCAGGCTAGAGTCACATCTCTTTATGGACTGTAGTTAACCATAATTGAAGTGTCCCATGTCAGCATCAAACGTCAGGAGAAGAAGTTATCAGAAATGTTTTAGCTAACAAACAAGTTGAGATTTGACTATATTTACCGTAATAGTATGTCGACAAAATCGTGATCCGCTCCGTCGGCTGCAAAAGAGAAGGTAAAAGAATGACCAAAGTTGAATGAAATCCAACTATTTACTAAGCCAAACAAAAACCCGCCTTTGAAAGACTAGTTTTTCGTGAAAACATACCATAACAAAAATCCCCTCACGGCGAGTGGGAACTTCTTCTAGCTTACTCAATGTTTCATCTCCTTTAGTAACTTTACCAAACACAGCATACTGTTGAATACCGCCAATCTCATTACTAGTCATCCTAAAAATGAGATAAAGCCAATAGTCTGCGCTGAATTAGCAATCTGACCTGGCGATCAAGATGAGGAGCATTGCCAAGAAGCATCGAAAATGAAGATTGTGCGCTGTTTGGATCGTCATATCTACCGAACAAAAACAAAACCACGAAAGACAAAAACATCACCATGCAACTATCTTCACCAAAACAACATGAACACAACAAAAAGCGACAGTCACAGAAAACATAGAAAAAAACCGAGCTACACGAGAACATTCACAGAACACATAGATACAATCCAAGCTACACGAGATAGAACGATACATACCTTCCCATGGAAAGAATACCTCTCACATGCTTAACATCACTGAACTCTCCCACAATTTTCTTCTCAGCTTCTTTCCTTTGCTCCTCATTCATTGGAGCTGATCGTCCACTCGCCACATCCGCAACTTGAGCAACAAAACCTTTATCAACCTGCAAAATGACTCACACCCTCATTTCTGTCAGCTTCTTCTTTCAACACCAACAAAATTAAGTCATAGATGCAAAATCACATCAAAGTTTGAGCCTTTAAGTCATATACCCTGAAGAAATGATTAGTGTTGTAGCCTCCTAAACGAACAAGCTTGAAGATATGGTCCACTGTCTTTGGTGCAACAGTGGGATAAAACCCGAATTCGATATCTCCATAACTAGTCTGCACAACCATTATCATCCATTCCACATACAATTAACAAACTTCAAAATCCTAGAACATGAATTCCGGTAAAAAGTGAAACAAAACTGAAATCGATTTCACACAAATTCAAATTGAGATTTTGATCACAATCATATCCAATATTGGCATGAACTAGCACTAGGGTTCAAAGTTAGCAGAGAAGAAGAGACGAGATATGAACCTGGAAGACGACACGAGCCGAACCAAGTTCTGGTTCATGAGACAGAGCTTTAACAATGGAGACAAAGGCTAAACAAGCCAAACCCACGATCAAGATTCTCTTGTTTCCCATTTGCGTTTAGAAGTTGGCGCCGATCTGATCAAACAGACTTTGAAGTCAACACCGGCAGAGAATTTTTCTGTCCGTCGTGAATTAATCCGTCGAAGACGATAACCGGAATCGTATTGGGCCCAATGTTTGCTTAATTAAGGCCCATAATAATTTTTTCTCAGAAACCATTGTTTCCTTTAGTAAGGCCCATCATTTTATGTACTTCTATATTGGCTTGGGCTTTTATACATTTGACTATTTGAGAGATTTTGCCATTTTGGAATTAAGAGAAAGAGTGTATTGGTTTTAGCCTTTTAGGGATGGACATTGATCAAATATTCTAACATCTGAGAGTATAAAATTTTTGTTTTGTATCCATCGATTTGAGGTCTATATGGATACAAGAATCTGGATATTTATTCGAAATTAATATATCTGGGTCTTAAACTACGAATCCCAAAATATTTATTTACTAACTAATGAAATTTTATATGCATTCGCCATGAATGATACTTGACAGTCCAAAATAAAGAAAAATGTGATCCGGTCTACAAACTTTGATCCGACCAAACTAAATCAGCTTTTTTCATTAATTCAATGTTTACGTATTATCTTATCCATTCAGAATATATTAGACGTAACACTAGTATATTATATAAAATAGTTGAAAAAATAAGACACAATAGAAAATTAGTAAGAAAAAATAATGAATTCAAAACAATCTTTTGTTCCTAGCTCTGTTATTATTTTATTTTTTTGGCAGGTAAATTATTTGTACTTGAGTTTGGTAGTTAAAAACAATGAGTAATGCTTCTAATATAACGGCATGTGGGTGTTGAATGAGTTGAAAACTTAGCCAAAAGCATTTGTTCGTCTTCTACTTTTTTAGTTGTGTGTGTGTTTTTGGAATTTGGGTTAGGGCAGATTCATGCTTTGATTTTAGGTTTCAGTTACATCAATCAACATCTATAGTTAATGCTCCCTGGAAGAACACGATTCCCGACATTTCCACGGTGCAACGGAAACACATCGATTTCGAAAAGCTAAAAGAAATGCAAATTGTTTTCTTTATATATTTAACTAGGGTAAAAACCCGCGCTCCGCTGCGGGATATCTTTTATAAATTATTTTTGTTACTAATGACTTTTGCTTAAACTAAGATTATGTAGTACAAAGTTCACAATGAAATTTGTATTTTTTGGTTTAGACAATGAAAGTTGTCTTCCTTCTTTCGTAATACAAACAAAAGAGTATCCAAACTTGAATTTAAACAATACACAAATACGAAACTTGAATTTAATATAAATATGATTTGTAAAACTTAAATAAAATTTTAGAATTTGATGGTTGACAGATCATTTTCACCACTTCATCTCATTTAAAAACTTTATTTTGAATTTCAAATCAAATAAAACAAATTAATACACAGATATGAGAAGGTGACCGTGACACATTACTTAAAAAATCAATGCACAAAATTCTTCTTCTCTTCGTCTACCGGCCTTGGATTCATTAACTTCAACATCTTTAGAAAATTGCTCCACCTTCATCTTTAATCAACATTAACTAAATTGACCAAACGAACAATAGTGTATATATATGTACGGAAGAAGTGTATAAGCAGAGGTAGATGAGAAATTCCGACAAGTTTTCGGTAGATCTCATGGTACTTGCACAATCTCTCCTTCATTCTTTAGATAGATACAAATACAATTGTGGATGTATTAATATTATACAATTGTCCAACCATCTCAAGAGATTCAATATGCATTACACGCTTGATACTTGATTGATTTAACTATTCCTAAGACCAATAGAATATATTACGTAAATATCATCTATGGTCTCACAAGTCACAATACATGCATTCAAACTTTGGGGTGGACAACAATAGTTTCAGACCTAAATTATGACATTTAGGCAAAGTGAAATACACGGGAAACCTGAAGTGTAAGTAAATAAAACATTAATAATTCTAGAATCATTAATCTATATCTCTGTCTACATGAAATATTTTAACAACCATATTTTCCATTAAACGACTGCAAACACTGATAAAGTATAGGTAGCACTCCAATATATAAAGTACGCAGCTGTTATTTGCTAATTAAATTATTGATTTCGAGCAATTGTGTACTTTTGAAGTCTTCTTTACACGAGTCTCAACAATAAGTACTACCAATTCAAAACTTCCATAACTAAAATAAGTTGTATAAACCTACCATAACTCCCTGTCGATGAAATGCCTACAACACTACCAACAATGACAAGGAAAGAAAGATCTAGATGGTAATGAAAGCAAAAAACAATGTTGGGGAAGGACACTATTTTTTTTTTTTGGTAAAAGGGAAGGATACTATTTGAATCATGTTTGGAAAACAAGATGGTACTCTCAGTACTCTTTAAATCTTAATCAATAACAAATTTTGTCGGTGATTTTTCTGGTAGTTTACGGTGGTTATTAGAGCTCTTTCCGATGGCAAATCGATTCGACAACAAACCTTGTCGGCGAAGGCAAAACAAAAACATAATCTTCGTCTCTCCACGTTTTCAAAGCAAACAGCGAAGGCACTTTCTTTAAAGAGGTAAACGGCGAGCACCGGCGGTTGGGGTAGGAGTAGCGGCTGAAGGAGTGGAGGAAGAGTGGTGCTGAGAGTGACGAGGAGATGAAGGATGGTGGATCTTGATGTTAGGGAGATGAGGATAATCAGATTATGGATTCATGATCTCTTTTTCTTCTTCTTCTCTGCTTGATTCAACAGATTTATAGAAACTTTTATTTTTTTTCCGATCGAGAGGAAGATGATGACGAAGAAGAAGAGACAGTCGTGTTTTGTCAATTTTAATTAGTCTCTCCATGTTTTCAACACTACTTTATCAAGTGGGCTTATACTTTTGGGATTTGTTATTTTATTTTTTTCGTCATACTTTTGGGCTTTGTTATTTTTTTTTGTTTTTGTGTGTTTTTAATAATATGAAACAACAGAAAAAGGGGAGAGAAAGAGTGACGTGGCAGAATAGAAGATTATTATTGGCAAATAAAGTTGGGCTGTATTATTTAAAATGTTTTGATTAGAGTTTCTTTTTAATGATGTGTCATAACCAGGAAAGCTGAAAATGCTGATGTGTTAAATTAGGAGAGAATCCAATTGTTATTATTGTATTAATCCTATTGTTATTTTGAAATTTTTTATTTAATATAACTAAATAAAATTTTATAATTTAATGTTTTATTTGTATTTAAATTGTAATTATTTTTACTTCTAGGGATTAGTTTTTTATTTATGTAATTAGACTTTGTAATTATAATTATAGTCTCTATTCCCAACATTAATATCTAATGAAAAGATGATGTTTCAAAAGTAAAATTCTAGTATATTTTTCAGTTAATAATTTATTTTCGTAGCAAAGGTTATTTTTTGAATTTTTTATTTAGTGATTTGCTATAATTAAATAAAATTTTTGAACTTAATGGTTTACCTTTATACCACTCGGAACCAACTAAATAACTTTATTTTTAAAAAAACTATCTTTATTTTCAATGTCAATTTTCAAAAATGTCACATTTTTAAACCTTATAAAAAATGCTCCAAACAATATGAAATTTACCCAAATACATATGTAACATTATTAAAACATATACAAACTATCTTTATATGTATTTAAAATCTTATAAATACCGTATAAAACCTTTAAAAACCTTTAAAATGTCTTGTAAAACATTAAAAACACCTTATAAAACCTTATAAATACTTGGATCGAGTTTCAAGTAGTAGTTACCATCCATAAATACCTTATAAACCTGATAAAACTTTATAAATTTTTCATATCTAGATTAGAGCATTTTTGAAAATGGATATCTAAAAAGAGTATTTTTGAAAAATGGCACACCAAAAAAGAGATTTTTAACAATTTTCCTTAAAAAAATATCATTACCATGTGCACTCTAAATATAATAAATTTTATATAATTTAAATCTTATTAATTATTATATATCTTTTGCAACTTTAAAGAATTAATAATTAGAATTTTCAAAAATCGTATTAGCTAGAGATACTGAATTAATTACCATGTTCAGTTTTGTTCCGTACTTATATTTTGATTAGATATCAATTCTAATGATGTGTTACTCTGAGAATAGCCTAAAAAGCTAATGTATAAACACCATCAATTTTTTTTAATATTATCCTTTTTAAATAAAAATTTTATATTATCACATATTTTACATATTATTTTTACAAAAATATATAAACTATTTAATTATATATGATATATTTATTTTTATTATATATATGCAGTCCGCGGGGCAATCCGCCAATCTCCGGCATAACCTGCTAAACCCCGTAATCCGAGTGGGATTGCCCGCAAAGTCTATTTTTAACGGATTTAATATTTTGTGTTCATACCTGAACCGGACTGGGCTAAGCCCACGATTTTAGGGCCATTTTGATATTTCTATGAGAGATGATGATGTGGAAAAAGAAAGGTTCTTATTGGATATTAAAAATGAGTTGTATTATTTAGAATGTTTTCATTGGTTATTCATTTTAAATGAGGTGTCAACTCCACAAAGCTTAAAAAAGCTGAGGTGTCAACCTCTGGAGAGTTTCAAGGGTTTTTATTGTATTGATTCGACTGAGCCTTATCTTTCAAATTCTAAGATGCATACAAGCCCTCGAATTAAACATTCTAAATTAAAGGATATCTCTAGTAGGAAATATGTACTTTTGAATAACACGATGAGTAACATCCACACTGCAACACGTCTTTCTAAAACATGATTTTACAAATAAATCTTACTTAGAATTATATTATTTCCATTTACGTATAAATGAGAGATCAATCGTGGTCTATGAAAATGACGTCCAACTAATACTGAGCCCTCTTTTTTCTTCATTTTCAGATATTAATATATTTTACATACTTATTAGCTAGCAATAGTTGATAATACACGTCAAATACAAATCAAATTTCTTGCATATAATTTGACAACTTGAAATTAAAAAATTTCGGTTTCATTTAGAAATTTATCGATTCATATTTTTTTGACTCTGCATCAGATAAACATGCATGTTATATCCGTTGGTTATGGCTTAATGGTATATCCGTATATGTAGATGGATAAAGGAGATAATGTGTTCAAAATATAATATGGTAAAAAAAAATGAAGGGTATCTAAATTATTTTACAAGATGGTGGCAACCCACCTAATCCTCCAAGTTTTCTGATTTTCTAGAACAATACATATAAGTCAGTACATTATGCTTTTTTACATTCTTCTTATCTTGTAGTTTGTAGTATATGTTATATACGTATATGTACGTCTGTATTTATGTGTGTCAGTGTGTGGTAACAATGATTTGCTGTTTCTGACTTTCTGTGTTAAGCATCCGAGAGAACATATATACATATAGCAGTATGTGACGTGGGTATATTGATGTTATAATAAACATGCAACTTGAATAAGAATTAATAATATAACATAACGTTATTTATATAACCGATTGTGTAAACATTTCGTTACTCTAATTTTCCCACAATTACCACCAATATAAATCACAAAATCACAACTCACAACAATATATAGTGAGTTTGTGATTTAAAAATCAATATTTAATGCTATGAGATGAGAGGCACGAGTGGCAAATATATATAGCTTTATTCCATTAATTGACAAAGAGAGAGTACATTTACCTATAGTTCCACGAAAGCATGTATCTTAGTCAGATCTAGTATTTAACTATACGTAAAATATGCTTTAGAAAAATTGACAACCCTAAAACATATCAATTTCTTTTTGTCGGCACCTATAACATATCAACTATAAAATAATACGAAGGAAATGTAAATGAACAAAAAAGAATAAAAAATGAAAAAGAACTAGAGAAAGGGAGAAGCCAAGTGTGATGTGTATACCATTTGCTTTTAAGCGAAATGTGCGACGAGCCGCAATTAGCGAGGAAAAGTGATTAGTTCTTACTTCTCGTCTTTCATTAATCCTCCACACCACAACACGTTACACGTTTGATATCTTTTTTTCTTTTCAATCTTAACCACATCCACTTTACATATGCCTTTACTTATTTTAATATGATTATGAACGTTCTTCAATGAAAGAACAAAATAGCATATTGACCATTAATTAGATGTATACAGATAAGCAAAAGTTATAACAAAAAGGATTTATATAAGCAAATTAATAGATATGAGTGGTTGGAAAAAAAGTTTGGAGTGGGACAAAAATAGGATATATATGCATGTGTGTGTATGGTTATTGTTGGAACGATGAGAAGTCATTAATGGTTCGAAGTTTTTTTTATGGTTTCTATAAGCACAATTTGTTGTGTTTTGTTCATATAGACAAAGATAATAAGATTATTTGAACTTGCCTCTAGTTCCACTTGTTGTTATTCGTTTATTTCCGAAAACTTGATTATATTCAAAAGATCAAATTAATTTCATTATAAGCCTCATAATCATCTTGCATTTTAACTACTAAAATAACGCAACTTAGCATTAGTGAACCAAAGCAACTTCCAACTTAAATCAAGACTATTGCTACCAATTATTCTCCTTTTAAAAAAAGATAACATAAAGATGAAATTATCTGATAACATTCAAAGTTTTTTTGTCATTTATCTCTCATACTAGTTTTTTTCAATTTTGGTAACGAATGTTAATGATATCTTTCCAAGCATTTTTCCAAACTTAAAGGGGACGAAGAAGATAGGGCCACCACCAACTTAAGCGTCGAGTCTAATCCAGTCAGATGCTGAGTCAGGACATGTGACTAAAACCAAGAGTTTCAATTTTTGATTTTTTGACTTTTTTCTTCTTTTGGAAAAATTTCCCTTAATTGCGTATTCATTTTCTCTTTTTCCTGCTTCCTAATACCACTATTAATGTTCAAATTTGTCATTATAGCTTTTCACTCCCATGCGTGTTGAAACAAATAAGCAGTTTACTAATTTTGTAAGAAAACGTTAACTTCTGTTTACGTACAAAGTGCCATCCATTCTTTTGCAACCAACGATTTAAAGTGAAGTAGAGAACATAACTTTTATTTGTGATAACCTATAAAGAAATTGTTTGCTTGTCCAAGGTAATTTTTTTTTATATTGTTTGTCTATATCGTAGTTGTTCCCTTTTCCTCTATGAAAATTGTGAAGGTTAAAAGTCAAAAGTCATAGGAACGTAAATACAAGATAACGAGTATGAATATCATATATACAAGATAGGAACGTAAAATACAATTGTTTTAGCACATAATTAAACAAAGTAATTTCTTTTGCATTTCTTATACATTAAGACAAAAAAAAACAAAATTTTAAAAGGATTAATATCAATTAACATTTGACATCAGTTTTAAACTCCGGAGAACTTGTTTGTGATTCTGAAATTGTCTCAGTTTATTCGAAAAACTTGCATTAATACCTTACCTAAAACACAGTGTTCAATCGGTTAAAGAATTTTATTTGTTTTAATACTTTAAAATTTGGTTTTCACAAAATTTGCTTGTGACTTTCATCCTTAACTTCATATAGTTGACTACTTGTGTTTTAAAATTGATATCCAAACGTAAAAATTTAATCGACTACAGTTTTTTTTTTTTTTTGGGGTCAAAATTTTATCAACTACAGTACTTAATTTCCGAAAATCTTATTACAGAGAGTTGGAAAGGTTTCGATCATAAAATGCAACCATGAGACCATCGTTACTCTACCAAAAGTGGACATAATTTCACACGGACGAACAATGCAGGTTACTAAAATTACTCTGTAAAATCAGTCATTTATTAATTTACTTCACTAGAGAACACGAGATCACATATGACACGTGATATTAATTTTTTTAACCCTCACAACAACCACTACACCAAAAGGAAAAATAACAATAATTATTTCGAATGTGAATTTGTGAAATCTGTCCTTCAGATTGTTGAATTTGAGCCCATGAACACATTAACACATGTAAAAGTTAATTTGTCTAGAGTAAATTCGTGTTTGTTGAAAACCATCTACCATATACTATTTATTTTGTCTAGAGTAAAGTTATTTTGTTATTAAAAAATATTATTCTATTTATTTTAAAATATCGTCATAAGCATGAGTACACATATAAAAATAAGTCAAATTATCATAACATTTCAACATGAAAAATAGTGTATTAGTACTTTTTCAACAATCCAAACCATTGATCCATGTTTTTGGTTAGCAACAAAAAAGTCAATTGTTAGGTGTAAAACAATAATCGTCATGACTCTCATTGACCAATCGTTAATTTGAAAATAGGGTCCATTGCATAAACATCAGTTTCATATAAATGGGCTTGTAGCATCATAGTAGAAAACAGATCAGGTACACCGTACTCTCGCCCACAGGCTATTACAGCCTGTGTTCTTAACCAATAGAGTCATACAAAAGTAAAGATAAAAGTTTTTGTCGTAAGTAAAGATAAAAAAGTTTGAAACTGACCAAGTCAGGCTTGTGGATGGGGTTATGACACGTGTCAAATCGGCTCTTTATTTTTACCGCAAAACTTGGCGGCTCCGTCGTAGAACCACCGGGAATATCACAAACCGTCCGATCATCTTACACTTTATTCGTCCTTATCCAATTTTAATCCTTTTTTTACAGCAATAATTTTAGGCACCACCATGTCCCAAGAAAGAAAAGAGTACAATTGCAATTTATAAACTATTTTTGATGATAACATATATAAAAAAAAAGTATGATTAAAATTGTACTTCAAAATTTATTAAACAATATTGTACGATTGAAGCAATAGAAATGGTTAGATTCAAGGTATTGGATTACACGCTTGTGTTTAGTCTGAAGCAAAGAACTTGAAACGTCTCTTATGCTTTTTCACTTTCACTAATCTCTCTTTCTTTATTTTTAATTAATATTTATATGCTTTAGCTAAAAGCCTAAAACAGTAAAACACAGTACAAGAATAAAACACATAAGTAATTAATTAATCAAAAAAATGTACACAACACTGAGATTATTTTTGTCTACAAAGTCCATTGGCTTCTTCTGATTTGCAAAGAAGCTTAAACCTTAAGGTATAATATGAGAGATAGACAAATGTAAAGAAAAAACAGAGAGAGAAAATTAGTTTAATTAATCTCTAAAATATACAAAAATTAAAACTTTTTTCTCTTCTTCTTCAGTTACAATTCTCATTCTTATTTTTTTTTTCTTGTTCTGATATTGTAGTTGCAAGAAAGATTTTGACTTCTCTGTGTTTCAGATTTCAAGAAATGGAATCGATTTTAAGCTTCTTCTGGGTTAAAAGCTTGGATCCAATCTGAAGACAGAACAAAGTTTCTTGTTTTTGATTCTTTGCCCATTTTGAGAAGATGTTTGAAGGACGACCTCGTGATTCTTGTCTAGTTTCAACACTTTTCACCATGCCAAGCCATCAAGAAACGAAATGGAGCTTTTTGGTTTCTGGGAAACGATCTTTTCTCAACAACGATGAGTCTGATCTTCACTTCAAGAAGATGTACAAGCTTACTAGTTCAAACGAAGAAGGAGACAATGGATCTTCTTCAGATTCAGGAACACTTATCCCAGGGATGAACAAAGATGATTCGTTAAGCTGTTTGATTCGTTGCTCTAGAGCTGATTACTGCTCCATTGCTTCAGTGAATCGGAGTTTACGTTCTTTGATTCGAAGTGGAGAGATTTATAGACTCAGGAGACTACAAGGGACGCTTGAGCATTGGGTTTATTTCTCTTGCCATCTCAATGAATGGGAAGCTTTTGATCCGAGGTCGAAACGGTGGATGCATTTGCCGAGTATGCCACAGAACGAGTGTTTCAGGTACGCAGATAAAGAGTCTTTGGCTGTAGGAACTGATTTGCTTGTGTTTGGTTGGGAAGTGAGTTCTTATGTAATCTATAGATACAGTCTTTTGACTAACTCTTGGTCTACTGGGAAGAGTATGAACATGCCTAGATGTTTGTTTGGCTCTGCTAGTTATGGAGAGATTGCGGTTTTAGCTGGTGGTTGCGATTCGAATGGTAGGATTCTTGATACTGCGGAGTTGTATAACTATGAGGATCAGACTTGGTCGGTGTTACCGGGGATGAACAAGAGGAGGAAAATGTGTTCTGGTGTGTTTATGGATGGGAAGTTTTATGTCATTGGTGGGATTGGTGTTGGGGAAGGGAATGAGCCAAAGGTTTTAACTTGTGGGGAAGAGTTTGATTTGAAGACTAGGAAATGGACAGAGATTCCTGAGATGTCGCCACCGCGGTCTAACCAGGGGAACGGAATGTCTGCAGCTGCAATGGCTCCACCGCTTGTAGCGGTTGTGAATGATCAGCTTTACGCGGCTGATCATGCTGGTATGGCTGTTAGGAGATATGATAAGGAGAAACGGGTTTGGAATAAAGTTGGGAACCTGCCTGAGCAAGCGGGTTCGATGAACGGTTGGGGTTTAGCGTTTAGAGCTTGTGGGGATCGGGTTATAGTTATTGGTGGACCAAAGGCTCCAGGTGAAGGATTCATTGAGCTTAACTCATGGGTACCAAGTGATGCAACACCGGAATGGCATTTACTCGGCAAGAAACAGTCGGTTAACTTCGTGTATAATTGCGCGGTGATGAGCTGTTGAAGAAGTGAAATAAAACCGCGAAAACCCGTTGTTTGCATAGAGAAATTTACCAGGGGGAAGATGTTGGATTTAGCCGTCTTTAACAGGGGTATAAAACACAGGCTTATTAGTTTATCAATCTAAAAAAAATCAAGGAGATTGTTGTCCTGTTACTTATTGTAATTGTGTAGTTTCATGTTTCCTAACGAACTCTATCTTTTGATCTTACACTTCAATGGATGTTTCTTCTTTCTACTTTGTTACATTAGCTCTTTCTCTTGCTCTAATGATTCCAATCTCTTTGAGTTTTTTTGTACGCAATCACATCTTAATTTACAGAAACAGAAACAGAGTCGACCACTAAAAATTTGCTAGTGTTTTTTGTCGTTTTGTGCCTTCATTGATTACCCATTTATTAATAAACTAATTAGAGAAAAGAAGAAAACATGAAAGTTATTGATTCAATCGAGTACTTTAAGTCCAAAGTCTGTGAAGAATTTATTCACATTCAGTAGCAGCTGCATCAACTCTAAAAGCATATTTATTCGACTCGAATCTTCAACTATTTGATTATGCTAAAGTACCAATGTATATAAATGATGATGAATTTCTCTTTTAATAGTATATCAATATATTATCTTTCAACCTTATGAGATACTAGATGTTTTTGCAGGAGGATCACATTCGAGTAGAAATTTGATTCGATACAATTACAATTTTTAATTGACTTCAGATTTTCATTTGGTGCAGTGGGATAAAATTGAGCCCACGATTGAGGCATAAAAAAGTAAAGCAAGGTTAGTGTTGGTGGAGGCTTAGAGCATCTCCAATGGATGCAAAATGAGGTTCTCTTTGTAGGTTCTCTTGAAATTTTTTTTGAAAAATAAATCAAAACTGTGAATTAAGAAGAGAGCTGTCTCTCTTGAGAGAAATGTTGAGTACCATGAGAGCCGACGACGTGGCCTTCTCTCAGCCTTCGATTTTTTTTTATCAAAAAAAAAAAAATCAGTGGCTTCAACGACTGCCCCGTCGTTCACAGAGTCACCTTTTGCTCCGAAACCATCAATGGCTTCAACGAATTCAAGATCAGTGGCTACTCTTTGGCGACATCGTGCGGTCAACTACCTCAGATGCACAATCTCTTCTCAAAGCTCAGACCTTTTCTTTCTCTCTCCTTGCCGTCTTTTACAGCCCCGTTTTGGTGCTCTGCCGACGATGAAGGTTGGGTTTTTCTATCATTTCTCTAAATTTCAAACTTTATTTTGTGTGCATCTCTGTTTTTTATTTCTACAAATTGAATTTTTCTTATCTTTGTTTCTGGGTTGCTTTTGATTCAGCTTTTATTGGTGAAGTGGATACACAATTTTAGGATTTTATTGTTTAAAATCTCATTTGAAGTTTAGGCGATTGTTGGATTTGATTGTTCATAGCTTATACAATCACAATGAGGTATTTCTCAGGGAACATATAAAGTAAGTCAAAATTTTGTGATATAGAGATGGATTGTTGTTAATATTGATTTTGTGATATAGAGGCTCTTGAGTGTGATGGAACGTTTTTTGCTTGAAGATGGTGGAGAGCTTGAGATTAGGATTAAGCTTGATCCTGTTTACGGCAGCATCACCATAATGTATGAGTGACTTCTCATTTTTATTTGTTACTGAAGTATTGACAATTGAATAAAAATTGTTTACTTAAAGAGGTTTGATGCGTCTATATATGCAGTAATACTGTTTTTGGAATGACAAAGACAGAACTTATATATATATTGTTCTCACCTTCTCGGAGGATTGATGATTGTTTTAGGACGTGACAAGGTATGGTGGTGGATACAACTTGTGATTGTCTTATGAATATGGCAAAATCGGTAAGACATTTACTTCCAAAAGCTTTTGTCTACTTTTATAAAAAAAACTAAAAGTATTAGTCTTTCGAAATGAAGTTATTATATTTGAAGCATAGATCATATATTTAGTTTTAATGCTTAAGATATTTTTACAATGTTAAAGCTATATCTTGTTTAATTGGAGAGCTTGTCTTGTAGATATGGCCAAATTGGTAAACCATGTAAATTACAAAGCGTCGTAGTTTATTTTTGTTTAGCATCATAGTTTTTTGAAGCTTAAAGCATATGTTACTCTTAATGATTAGGATCTATTATAAATATTTAAGCTACCTATAATAAAGCAATGATTAATGAGAAATGTATCCTTTGATAAATGTATTTCTTATGAGTAGTGGACTTCTAGTTGTCTCAACATTCAGATTTGAGGCTCAGTGTCGATAACATGATGATGATGATGTCTCTATGTTAATTCTTGAGTGTTGTGTTTGTTTTGTGGGTTAAAAACAGATCAAAAGCTGTCTCCGGAAAGTCAAATCATTCCGTTTAGATACACCACTTGAACATAGAAAGTGCATCATCTGTCAAGTAAGTCCAGATTTTGTTTCATTGCTCTAGTCCAAATAAATTCTTCGTAGGAACCAATGTTTAGAATGTTGATAAAACAGATTTGTTGCTTAAGCATTAATTAATGTTCATGTGTTTGTTTGTTTGTTTGACAGGACGAATATGAGGCAAAGGATCAGATTAAAAATCTGTTCACGAGGCAATGCATATCACTGACATGGTTTTTTAAACATCTTCTGAATGGTGTATGGAATGTTGGTCCTTGTTATAATGCCTTAGAAATTATTCATACACATGCTTATTGGGATTATGCACGGGAATGCTAACCGGAAGGCGATGCGAAATTATTCATACACATGCTTCTGATGGGCATGCGAAATCAACTTCGTGATCAAAATATGCATCAACAATTGAAAAGTGATTTGGTTGAGCATATATGGAGAAAATTTCGAAACAATCAACAGAATAACTAATCGTTTTTTTTTTTCAAATTTATTTTCAAATGTATGAAATTATTGTATCTTTAATATGTTATGAATTGTAATATTTTTCAGATTTATGAAATAAAATAATTAAAAAAATAATTTAATTTTTTCTTGAGAACCCCACAAAGAGAGCCTACCATTGGACTTTGCAAAATTAACAAAAGCTCTCATCTCAGAAATTTGAAAATTTTAATCTTAAAAAAATGGTGAGAGCCCATGGAGGGCTCTCACCATTGGAGATGCTCTTAGGCTAGTAGCCCATTTAGGCATTTTCTTATTTTGTCGTCTAATACAACTGTAAAATCTATTAAAATGAGATTACTTTTGTTGATTCCCTAATGTTTCTTCCACTAATGCAACATCAAATTATAAAAGTAAATAAAAAAAGAATATTGATTTGCTTTTCTTTTTTTTTCTTGTTGGTTAAAAGAACATTGATTTGCTTATTGTTTATTTATTTTCATTTTTCAATTCCATTGCCTCCACTGATCACTACTGACTACTCTAAAGTAAAACACCATTTCCAGATTCGAAAATAGACATATATATGTAATTAAGTTGGAAATTATTTGTTTACAAAATTAACTTTTAAAAGAACAAGAATCATATTGTCTACTCTATTGTTCTTGCGATTATATCACAAGTCACAACGTTCTCCGAAGCCATAGTCTTGCAATATGTCGGTAATACATGGGATATTGGCTTTATGAAAGAACAATTATATCAAATAATTATGTGTTTTGAATAGATTGCACGCAAAGTAGAATTATTCACACACACAAGAACAATTATTCATAGAGGAACAACATGGAAATGGAATTATCCAACAAAATTCTGTGAAAATATCATATAGTACGACCAATATGCATATATTATTCTCTATTTCTATCATAAAGCAGATTCAGTTGGCTCATTCTTCTTTTATAGCTCATTCAAAGTAAAATTCGCATTGTTTTTGTGGGCATTTCTCATTTGTCTAAATATTCGCATTTACAATGAATTATTTTTTCAACTTTATGTTTGGACCTTCCATTTTGGATATTTTCTATTTACGGGTTCTCAATTTGAAATGACACAGATTCGGGAATCTATTTTTTATATTGATACTTATTAATATTTGGACCTTTGATGTATATGTAGTTTCCCCTAATCTATATATAATACTTGGAAATGTGTAAACAAGGCCATTTTAATTGGAATTTCCAACTTATTTTTGGCCATGTCAATTTCTAGTTGTTTATTTCTTTATTTGTACGTAGCTGATTAATAATTTCGTTGTAAGTTGTAACCATAAGCTGGTTAACAATTGATAAGTGCATTTAACTCAGGTGGTTACAACTACAACTGTCTCTAGTCATCACGACTATAGACAAACAGAAAATGGGATAAAATGTTTCTAAGTGAGGTACAAACAACAAAATGGTTAACAATTGAATATTAATAAATGAAAAGTTGAATCCCGCATAAATTTTATGTCTAAATGAAGAGAGAAAAGATAGTAAATGATGCCTGAAAAACTTTTGTAGCTCGCTAAACTGAAATACTCAATTTTAATAAAAACACACCTAAATGTTTATCGGTAATTGAAAACACACAGTAATTGGAAGAAAAAACTCCAATATATGATAATATTTGATGAACGTTACGTGGATAACTCATTAATAATATAAACATTAGTCGTTTGAAACATACTATTAGCTATGAAAAGATATATGAAGCACCTAGGATGTATCTTCGAATTTAATGAATTATTAGATTCGACCAAAAAATAAATATATAGATTATACTTTTGTACAAATAATTCGATAGTCACATGAAATTGAAATTATTTGCATAACCAACACATTGTTTGGCTGGTCCACTCACTCGAACATCGTCATTATTGTTGGGCAAAGTATGTTAATAATGCAAATGCATGATTACTTGGTCGATATAATTTGACGTACCGAAGCCCATTAGTATTCGGTTTCTGTTACATTAACTTAACTTTTATTTTCCAATATCCTATATTTTATAATTATATTGCCCATTCGAAAATATAAGATATATCTTTTGTCGCAAAAAAACATCACAGGACAAATGCTTAAAAAAAAGTAGGGTTCAGTTGAGGTATCCAGCTACCATCAAAATGTCCCACTAATAAGTAATCATGACCTAATATATGATTTGAGAGTTACACCAATTAATACTAATAGTTAAAATAGAAAAATATAAAAATATTTTTGAGGATTTTAAAAGACATATCTTTCAGATTGTTTATAATAAAAAAAAAGAGATTTACAAAAGAGAAAAACCAAATACCACAAAAGTTTTTCAATGGGAATATTTTGAACAATTTAGAACTTTTCATAAATGATAAGAAGACCCTTTCTAAACGTTTACAACAATCCTTCTTAAAGTTTTTAATGCTTTATTATAAAATTTCCTTGTGCTATTTTTTGTGTTTTAATTTGAAAAAAAGATATTGTAAGAGTTGTTTAAAATAGTTGTAGTAGTTGTTACGTTAATCAAGAAGTGGGTTAAATTTTTGCATTAAGTAGTTGCAGCTAAGGTAGACGTTGTCAAACAGGCGTGTACGTTTTATTCTAATACGTTTTCCAACCGTAATTTTATTTTTTAAAAATTGTATATATTCTACAATGTCCACAATTAGTTCTAATTAACCAGCCGATGAATTATAAAAATACAAACTAACAGAGTAATCAGTCATAAGATTGATGTTGTAAATTTAAACAGAACGTGAAAAGCGTCAAATTGATGGTATATGACCTAGATTGTTCTAAACACAAATCTTTTACTTTTAAAAATTTGGCTTTTACATATAATATTTTTTCTAAAACACTCTGATAACATTTTTTTAATGTAAAATCAAGATATAAACATAATTTGACTATAAGATTAGACGTTATGATTTCATTATAAGTTTATAACATATAAACGTAAACGTAATCTAAAGGCAAACATAAACGTTGGATTGGAGTGTGGGCAGCGTCAAACCTCTTTTGTATTTCGCTTTGTTTAATTTTCACCAGAAACGATTCTGACTCTTTAATCAACTTTATTCCTTTCTTAAGTTAATTATATGCATTACGTACTTCCACGAATACGCCACTTTCTCTTATTCACAAGAAACATTTTGGAAAAATGAAAACCCATGAGTTTATTACACTATCTTTTGAGTTTTTGACGCATCAAAATAACTGGAAGATGCCAAAAAGTAGAGCAGATTAAAATAATATCATTGCGGCATTGCCTTACTACAAATTAATCAATCAATTAAAATGATCTTTCCTCGCTCCGGAAAAACAAAAGAAATGTGTCTTGAAAAAATGAAATTAATTTCCATAATAAAAAAAGACACCCACTTTGTTTTTTATTGGCCTATTCTTCCAGATTTACGTTTTTTTTTTTTTTTGGGTAAATTGTTTCCCATTTTGACCATTAATTAGGATAGTTTCTACATGAATAGCTCAGACTGCAGCAACGTGTAATAATTAGCAGCTTCGTCTTCAAGCTCCCAAAACGCATCACCAAACCCATCTAACAAACTATCTCCATAAACGTAACTCTCATTAGTCTTTTCATAATTACTCTCGCCAAAATCTGTGTTAGGGATCCCAAGTTCGTCATCGGAAGCTTCCAAAAGATGCTGCATCACTTTCTCCTTGTTGTCATCTTCGACATCTTCTTCTTTCGAGGAAACGCACGACGATGACGACGAGTCTTCGACGTTGAAGGTTTCGGAAACGACGGCGTTTTGGTCATCTGATGAGATATCTTGCTGAAGAGCGTTTATAAAGGAAGTTAGGTCATTGTTGTGTTGGTTTTGTTCGTCTGAATCGTTGAGGAGACATAGAATTTGGTTGTAAGAGGAAGAAGATGATGACGAAGAGGGCTTTTGTCGTTTGGTTGTGTCTTCTTCGACTAGGTTTTCTTGTTCTCTGTAACGTTTCAATGGCGATACATCAGATGTTTCAGCCATGTTATTCAAGGGAAAGAGAGAGAGAGGAGCTTTTAGTAACGTTAGAGAGAGAAAATTGTGAGGGTGATAAGAGAGATAGAGAGTCTGAAATGTATAAATAGAGAGAGATTATTTGGTCAAAATAGCTATTTATTGTATAGTATTAAAATAATAATGGAATTTAGCATCATTTTAAATTGCTTCGTGCATGTCAGGAGGAAGAAACATGTGAATGCTTTATTCGAATTATCGCATTACACGGAAAAAGTCTAAAATATTTGGTCAATAATTAAAAATTTCTGATATGCAGAGTAGTAAAGTAGGGATCCTAAGGCATGTAAGCTTTGTTGGTTGTTAGTTGTTACATAACGCATGATGCCAGGCAAATCTTTAAAATTTATGGCGATTTTATTTACAAATAAATTTGTATCAAATATGAATTTTTATCAAATCTCTCTCTATCAAATATGAAAGTATACAATTTATCAAAAAAAAAATTAAAGAACAATAAATTCACATAAATTTCGGAATATCGATTGAGTGTCCAAAAAATATCTAGATTCTAAAAATGATATTGAGTATGGACTTCAAATGGAGTACCTATTTTTTTAAAAATGTTAGTTTTAAAAAGAAAATGAGTTTTTTTTTTTTGTTGTTTTGGACTCAATATCAATAAGGTTAAACTTAAGGATGCTCAATTGCTCATATTGTAAGAGAAAGAGCGAGAGGGAGACAAAAGATAAAGAAACTAGTTGTTGTTGTCATTGAGATTTGGCAATATTTTTGTGTTGTATTCGCCGTAGGATTAGCCTTCAAGAACGAGCTTGTAGATTACGAGGGGAAATCGGACGGCTGTCAGTTTACGTCTTTGGATTGCACATGGAAAGAGACGGGTTCTCATTGTGCACTTGACCATATACGTACATTAAACTAATCACAAGTCGCAACCTCTTAATTATTTTTCATTAGTTAATTATAAATTTGAACATTTTTCACCTATTACACTTAAGGATGGGACTATTTTAGTTTTTACACATATAGAATCCAAAGTATATCCAAATTTATAAGTTCATTACCTTAATAATGTTTTCAAAACAAATTTCCAGCTGGTTGAATTTATACGTGTGTTTATCATGCTTTTAAGTGTAATTTTCCGTTCGTTTATATAATTCGAGGGACCAATGTCAATTAACGTCTTGCATATTAGTCATTAGAAAAAGAAATTAATGAAATGGTACGACGGTTATGAAACATTTTATTTATTATAGATGTGACGGTTTCAATTATTTGTTTTACATGTCTAATTGATAATGAAGCAGAAACGTTTTGATTTTTTTTGTTAAATGGATGCTTACATGCATACCTCAAATATTTTTCTGACAAATTATGCTATTACGAGGTCGAGGAGATAGAATACAAATACAAAACAAAATAACTACTAGGCAGATGACGGTTACGAGGAGATAAAATACATGCAAGTTGGAAAAAAAGACAGATGGTAATAGCCAATAATTAATTAATTAATATGAAGAAACTATGGACTTAATATCCGAAAGATTTTTTTTTTTAAAAAGAAGAATACATCGAGGTAGGGTTATGCCAGTGGGTTTCTGTTCTCTTTCTTTCGAAGCACTTCTTCAAATCTTTACTTTTCATTTTTTTCCTTTTTTAAAAAACTTTACTTTATTGGCCTGCTTGCCATGATTTTTAAATAATGATCTTTCACCCAGTCAAATTGTGTATTTTACGGTTCCCACAATGAGGAACATGGTTATTAAAAACAAAAATAACGAATGCTTTTAATTTCTTATTTTTTTAAAAAATTACTCTAAGAATGAGGAGTAGATAATTTGAATTGGGTTACGTCTTTTCTTCATCAAAGCAACCTTCGAGCTACGTCAAACTTAAGATTAGTGGAATCGACAACTAGATTACGTGGAGTCCTCTCTTTAGGTTTCCTTCCTAGTTTCTAATAAGGCTTTTATTTGTCAAGTGATATTAACAAATATGAAATATTGAAATTGTATAATGTAAACGTCACTATTTAAGAGGTGGGTGCGTGGTGCTGGTCCAATGAATGCTGGTTGGGACGGAGTGAAGGATTTTGAAAGCCTTACAGGTCCATCCATATCCTCTTATCCTAAATATCTACTTTAAATTAATGGTTAAGGTCCATCATATGTTTTAATGTTTATAACGTGGAGCTTTTAATATATTACTATCTTCAATTGGTAGTATTTATCTTCAATTAATTGATTCTAGTTATAGTAAATTTTCAAGATTTCATCTAATTATATTAAATTTAGTTGAACAAAATCTAGAAATCAATCAAGAAAATTATTGACATGAGCTATTAGCCCAAGTGGTCTCCAGTGAGTTGCTACCTAGTAACCAGGGATTACCATGCCTTTCCTTGTTGGAGTTAAGGAAAAAGGTCGATGCAATATTAAAAGGAAAAGTCATGATATGTAAAGACATAAAAAAAGAGACTATCAGCGTTAAACATCAAAAGCATTATTGTTACAATAAGAAATTTAGGAAATATCAGAAAATTTAATTGTGATATATATATATTTGCTTAACTCTCTCCAGGAAATTGACATTTCTAGAATTTTTTTTTAAATATATAAAATTTTCAGCTGCAATACATTTGAAAATTTCAAGAACGTAGACACATGCATGTACGTACGTATGCACATGGTCACCGTACACCAATTTTGTATACATACGTACTTCTTACTTTCTCAGTTTCAGCAGCCAATACACTTTATTTATTTATTAATGTGCTATGTATAGTTTTATATACATAGAGGAACTTGAAATAATAGAACAAGTGGTGTGAAGATGAAAAAAAGAAAAGAAAAAAAAGATCAAGTGGTGTGAATAAATAGAATGAAAAAAAAGCAAGTGTATTCAAAGTGGTTAAAACGAAACGAATGGAACATATGAAACAAACGGTGCAGAATTAACGAAAGAAAAATTTAATGGAAACAGAAAGTAAAAACCATATAGAATCGAAATATTATAAGCTTTAAACAAAATGGAAACCGTATATATATAACAAGTACCGCATTTTCATTATTTTATGTCACCACACCTTTATAAATTGTACGAAAAGATATGATGTTATAATAGAATAATACTAACAAATCTAACATACGAATAGCTAACTGGAACCATGCTTTCGATATTAAAAATATCAAGAATGCTTGGGCCATTCGTTGGTCTACCATGGTAGGAGGTGGCATGTGCATAGTGGTTGAATGGTCATGATACGCCATTATCATATCATATTCCATCGCAATATTATAGTGCCACCGTCGATCTAAATAATTGAAGTGGTCGGTCCACTTATGCGATGTTCCACCTGTTCGTGACATTGATAATTCATTAAGTTAGTCATATCCCTTGAGGAGATCTAATAAATACTTCTGTTTACTAATCAATATGTCATGTTAATAATGGTGGCGTCGACAAGTTTAGATTCTAGGCAACTTTGGACATTTTCAGTCTTCCACCAATAACAGAAATCGTTTTTTAATTTATTCAGTTTAGTTTCGCCCAAAAAACAAAAAATTTATTCAGTTTAGTCAACAAAAAAAGAAGTCGGAGATCAATATGTAATTCATTTGGCAGCCACAAAATTCACACGGCATCTTCAAAACCATTTACGACGAATCCAAACTTATTAAAAAAATCGAAATAAAACAAAACTTATTCATAATGTTCAAATACTAAGATGTATTATAATAGTTTTTGTCCAAAAAAAAAAGATATAGTAATAGTAGCTTAGTAAATATTAACATTTCAATTTCGAATAAGATATTTAGTAACCACGAAATAATATTGTAAAGTGGGTAAAGTAAATAATGTCATGAGTTTTGTTGTTTATTATACACATAAATATTTGAGCACAAACAATTATAGAAAAGTTTTTCCCCGACATTGTTGTGTTTCAATAAAAGAATATCTAGTGGGTGCATACAAAATAATGGGATGATAACAGTCATGATTAAGACAGCTTGATTATGTTTGATTGATTAGAGTTGAGCCTAATTAAAAATCACAATGTACGCTAACGATTGTTTTCTTCTTATTTTCGTTTCGGGGTTTATATAAATAAAAAGAAAAATGACAACCAATGGCAAAATCATCATGTTATGTCCGCTTCATTCATCTGCCTCAATTTATATATTTTGTTAGCTTTATATATTATACAAGAAACAAGACTATTAAAATTTAGCCACTACCGTGACATGCAAAACCGTGGCCATAAAAGGTCACGTTTAGGCCACACTATTTTGAAAATGTTAAATTTGTGGCCATCCACATTTATGTTTGTGCCTAAATGGTCACATTGGTGCGGTGGCCAACTTATGACCAAGTGGCTTTTAATTGGCCATTGATCAGTTAGGCACAAATTTAAACGCCTGGACTCTGCAAATCAATGTATCTATGTCAAATTATTGTTTTTTTTTTTTTTAACAAATCAATGTATCTATGTCAATGGCCAAGTGGCTTTTAATTGGCCAACTAAGACTCCCTAAAACATATATAAATATAGAAAAATACCCTAAAATACCAAGATTAGATATAACAGAAATGAGCCAGATGTGGAGAATGGTGTGTGATAATTTCAAGTTTCTCTTGTGGATACATGCACAAACATCACTAACTTTTCTAATCTCAATAAAATCTTGGAGTTTTGTGAAGCAACATCAAGAAAGTTCTTAATAGTCTTCAATTTTCAATATGTATGTGTTCCAAAAAACCGATCAGCACAATATAATCGCAGACTTTCATCTTTCTTTCTCCACAATAGAATCCAGTTCAGTAACACCACTGAATCCCAGCTCAGACATATCTTGCTTTGCCATCAAATTCCTTCATGATAAACAGAACCACATCAATCAAATCAATCCAAAGTCACTAGCTAGTTCGTGATATTATTCTGAACCCGGAAATTAACCAAAATATAACTAATTAAAATCATTAGAGGAGGCTCAAGAAGGACTGACTTTGCCATCCGACACTCGAGATACGTCTTTGAAAGATGCCTACATTGCTCAGACTTATGACCAGTAGACTTGAGACAGTCGAGATAACCCTTCTTCTCCTGCAAAAGAAACAACACTCACATGAAAACATTTACAAGAGAAAGGCTGAGGTTGGAGAGAATGAAGGATGAAACAATACCGTGTCGCATTGATGCAAATGATCCAAAGGAAAAATACCCTTTTCTGGTGGTATTGGTCTCAATCCTCTGTTTCCTCCAAACGCTCCACCTTTCAACAAGAATCAACAAACGCCAATGATAATCTGTTTGACAACTAAGTAACACCAATGTTTTGTTTCCTTGCCAATACCAAAATCAATGAGTAACTACTAAGTAACACCAATGTTTTGTTTCCTTGCCAATACCAAAATCAATTTTACAGTCTAACCATCAATAATTAAGACTGCTTAAACTAAGTTATATCTGAGTAATTGCAAGAATTAGGTTTTAGGATAAGAATTTCTTCAACATATCTAAGTTTAAGTACATTTAAATGGACAATGAAGAGGGATAGTGTGTGCCTTAGCCATAACAGTTGTGGGAACACTGAATTTTCGATTTAGGGTTTTTGTTCCAAGGCAACAGAGGATTTTACAGAAACGCATCACAAACACACAAAAATTCTCAAGATATCAAGAAATTCAATACAAAATAAAACCAGAATAGACCCCTCATAATCTTGGATAGTAGGAGATTAATCGATAGATAAACAGAAATGGAAGAGAAAAGTGACGCACCTGTACTCATCTTGAAGCTTGGGATTCACCAGCAACTATGCTTTAGATTCATGTGTCTATGGGGAATAGCTAAATCTTACAGAACCGGTCTTTAAAATTATGGGCCTGAACTTGGCCCGTACGAAGGTTTACGTTAATATCTCTATACTATTAAAAGAGAAGTACAAATGAAAATGGGTCGGGTTAAAATCAGAAAATTGACCCAATTTCTGAAATCGGATCTTTGAAATTTTTTTGGAATATAAATTCGAATTAATAATGATAAATCGAAATAAAATCAAATATTTATGGAAATCAAATAAAATCTGATTATACTTATGGTAACTAAAAATAAAAGCATATTCCAAACAATATTATACATTAATTACGTATAATAAATTTGTTCATATATTTTTGGGACTAATTCCATAACAATCAACGTTTTTGTCATTAATTTCGCTCATTTTAGCCAATTATCATTAATTGAAAGATATATGAAATACAAATCCGTCCCGCGAATGTATGCGGATTTGCGGGATTGTCCATGGATTTTGTTTAAATAATTTTAAAGTAACCAAAATTTAAAATACTACTAAAATAAATAAATAAATAAAAATACTATTAAAAGTTTTTTTAAATTACCACATGTTGAATAAATTATAATTTTATCAATAAATACTAATATGCGGGCTGATCCGCCAACCCGCGGATGAAAACCGATTAAACCTATGACCCACTTCGAATTAATCCATGTGGCCCGCTTATTTGCGGGTTTAATATATTTTCCCAAATCTGCCTCATAGTGAGATGATGTGGGCTCGACCCGCAGTTTTTGACCTATTTTGACTGCTTTAATTCCCATGAATCGTCTAATTTTAGAATTTTAAAACACAAAATTCTATTTTGTAAATCATAATTAATACGATGAGTATATTTATAAACAATTTTACATTTTCTCTACAATTCGTTATTGTGAATATTTATAAGTATACTACACGATTCGTTCTACTAAAAAACACACACAATATTAAACGCAACGTATGTAAACCAATATTCTCCCGCGGTGGACCGCGGGTCCGATCCTAGTAATGTCATAAAATTGGAAACAAACATCGAATCTTGAAGAGGAAGCCATGGTTGAGCGAGGGCCAGAAGTCAAATTCTTATCAGATAGATTTTTAACGACTATATTTATGATCCTTACCAAGAAAAAAACTATATTTCTGATTACATGTATGAATAGATCTTATTCGCTATTGTGAGTATTTATAAGTACAATGCATGATTCATTCTATTAAAAACACGCACAATATTAAAATTAACGTCATAACACTTCATGCAAATATTTTTATGTGGTGGATCGCGGGTCCGATCCTAGTAGTGGATACATATATTATTAACACTGAAGTAAACTATAAGAACCAATTGGTACTGTCGGGTTTCAGGGTGTGAGCTTATGTGGTGCTAGAACACAAATGGCAACAATGATTAACTCCTTTTTCAAGTTTGCATAAATGGAAGAGAACGAAACAAAACTCTCATAACACTATCCATGAACTATAGAACCGCAAGAGGATAGTCTACAACTGTCATTAACAAAAAAAGAAGAAGCAAAAAGGAACATCTGCCAAAACTAGAATATCGAATCCACATCCACAAGTCATCTGCATCACTGTGCACCAGCTGACAAGAACGCACTTCCGGGCTGACGGTTAGCCAACGGACCATGGCAAGATAGGAACTTGGCGTTGACACCATCAGGGACAATCCGCTTCTCTTGCCTTAGCTTTGTGTACTCAGCACGGTTAAACTTGGTGAATCCCCTGAAAAAATTCCAAACTCAAACATCAACAAGAAGCCTTTTGCAAAACATAAAGAGCTTAACATAAAAAAACCAAACACAATCATACCATTTCCTGCTAACAATGATCTTCTGACGACCAGGGAACTTAAACTTAGCACGACGAAGAGCCTCCTGAGCATGATGTCCATGAGCATCTTTGCACCTCACAGACAAAAGAACCTGTCCAATAGCAACTCTAGCACAAGTACCAAGAGCTTTACCAAAAGCACCTCTCATACCAGTCTGAAGTCTATCAGCTCCAGCACAAGAAAGCATCTTATTAATCCTAAGAACATGGAAAGGATGAACTCTAATACGGAGATGAAACGCATCTTTCCCCGCAGACTTCACCATGTACTTGTTACAAGCGATACGAGCAGCTTCAAGAGCTTCACTTGAAACATTCTCTTTCTCCCATGAAACCAAATGAACACAGTAAGGGAACTCATCAACTCCTTTTCTCTTCATACCAACATCGTAAATCCTGATCTTAGGATCGGGAACACCACGACAGTATCTTGATTTTGGGTATGGCTTTCCCTTAATCTGACGGTAACATCTCGCAGGTCCTACAAATTACATACATTTTTACATCTTCAATAACAAGTTTAATCATTTCTGATACACAATTCAAACAAAAGCCTAATCCAAATGTAACATTCCGAGCTTAAGCAAATCTAATAATGCGACTGGAGTGATTAGAAAAATCCATTTTTGACACTGACCCTAACAAACAAAACCTAATCCACACGCAAATTCCGAGCTTAAGCAAGTCTAATTTACGATTCCGGTGATTACTCAAACCCATTTCAGAAAAAAAAACCATTTCCGCTGAGATCGATAAACAGAGAATGAATCTATCTATCCATAAAAAATCGATTACATTCAGAGAAATTTAGCAATATACTTACTTCGTCCCATCGCGTTGGTTTGGCTTCTTGATTGGTGTTTCGAATCCTAGAAGTGAAGAAGAAGACGGCGTAACTTTTTAATATGAACAACAAATAACCCTAACTATCTTCGTCACGTAACTGGATTCGGACAAAAAAATAAGGCCCATTAAGGAACTAAGGCCCAATATGATATTGTAAGCTTTAAAAAAAACAAAGCCGTGTTTATTCCGTTTCTGCTGTTTAACCGGCGGCGTTTTTCTGATGACATCAAGCCTCAGTCGCAATTTTGTGTTCCGACGTAAGAATCTTGATGCGTTGTTATCTCCACAATGTCAGAAACTTATAGACGATTTAAGATCTTGCAGAGATATCGTCGAAGTTTCACGAATTCATGGCTACATGGTGAAAACAGGGATTGATAAGGATGATTTCTCAGTGAGCAAGCTTCTTGCTTTTTCCTCTGTACTTGACATTCGATACGCTTCGTCGATCTTCGAGCATGTCTCCAACACTAATCTCTTTATGTTCAACACTATTCTCAGAGGTTACTCGATTAGCGATGAGCCGGAGCGAGCATTTTCTGTTTTCAACAAATTGAGAGCTAAAGGTTTCACCTTGGACCGATTTTCGTTTATCACGACTCTGAAATCATGTTCTCGTGAATTGTGTAGTTCAATTGGTGAGGGATTGCATGGGATTGCTTTGAGATCTGGGTTCATGGTTTTTACTGATTTGAGGAATGCTCTTCTACAATTTTACTGTGTTTGTGGAAGGATTAATGATGCTCGGAAAGTGTTCGACGAAATGCCGCATAGTGTTGATTCTGTTTCGTTTAGTACTTTGATGAATGGGTATCTTCAGGTTTCTAAGAAAGCGTTGGCTTTGGATTTGTTTAGGATTATGCGAAATAGTGAAGTGCCCGTTAATGTCAGTACGTTGCTTAGCTTTCTTTCGGCTATTAGTGATCTAGGAGACTTGTCTGGAGCAGAATCTGCTTATGGGTTATGTATCAAGATTGGTCTTGATTCAGACTTGCATTTAATCACAGCTTTGATAGGGATGTACGGTAAAATTGGGGATATCGGTTCAGCACGCAGGATCTTTGATTGCGCCATTCGAAAAGATGTTGTTACATGGAACTGTATGATTGACCAATATGCTAAAACGGGTCTCCTTGAAGAGAGTTTATGGCTACTGAGGCAGATGAAGTATGAAAGAATGAAACCGAATTCATCTACATTTGTTGGGCTGTTGTCTTCCTGTGCGAACAATGAAGCAGGATGCGTAGGACGTAGTGTTGGAAATTTAGTGGAAGAGGAAAGAATAGCTTTGGATGCAATACTTGGAACTGCACTCGTTGATATGTATGCAAAACTAGGGATGCTTGACAAAGCTGTTGAAATTTTTAATAGAATGAAGGATAAGGATGTTATGTCCTGGACCGCAATGATCTCGGGTTATGGAGCTCATGGACTAGCAAGAGAAGCAGTAACACTGTTCAATAAGATGGAGGAAGAGAACTGCAAAGTGAGACCCAATGAGATTACCTTCTTGGTTGTGCTGAATGCTTGTAGTCATGGAGGGTTGGTAATGGAAGGAATCACACTACAAGAAAAATTGTATATTCCAACGGACATATTAATCAGTAATTCGTGGGAAATATAGGTTTGCAATAAATTTCCAATAGAACATACATTTGTTGGAATATGATCGTTGGAAACCAGTATTTGTCGAGAATTTGTTAGAAATATTTCCGTCAAATACTTTTTGTTAGTAATCTGTTAAAACTTTCTGATGAATTATTTGTTGGAATTATGTTGGAATTTAGCGTAGAGTTTGCAACGAATTCTTGTTCCATCAAATATATTGTTAGAATGTTATCACTAGTTTGCGACAAATATTCAACAAATCAGATAGTTAATTTGTTAAAAATTACTCATAATATATTTGTGGGAAATTTCTTGATAAATTTTATTGAAAAATAATTTTAAAATAATATATTGTAATAAATATTTGATTTATATAAATATTATAAATAAATTATTATATAAATTTTAATTTTGATTACATTTATTAATTAGACAAATATAAAAATATTTATATTTGGTAATTTAAAGATTTATTAAAATCTGAAATATCCTTATTGGATACTTCTGAATTTTCTCAAATATTACTGTTGCTATAACTGGATAACAAATGATTTTACAAAATATGAAGACATAATACTAATATATATAGCAAATATATATTGCTTCTTTATCCCTTTCTTTCGATGTGGGATGTGGGAGGTGGGAGATGTCTACGTGCATCAGTGCATGTCTTATTAGACATGCTATTATTATGTTCTCAACTTATATTGGTTTGGCTAATTAATATTTTAGCCAGTTAGTGTTAATTATTACAAATTTTATTGATGAAAATTAGTTTTATTTAATAGCAAATGATTTAACTAATTCAAATTAAGATAAGATAATATTATTATTTGTCACAAAATCATCAGAAATATTTTCCAACAAATATTTTGTTAGTAATTTCCAACAACTTAAAAGTTATTGTTTCTATCCAACAATATATAATATTTGTTGGAAAATTCTAATAATATTCATACAAATTATACAACGTAATTACCACAACTAAAATTTGTTGGAAATTTGTAATGAATTTCCAACGATATAATATTTGTTGGAGATTTTCAACGATTTTCCTACAAAGTATGCGATGTAATTGTCACAATTATAATTTGTTGCAAATTTGCACTGAATTTCCAACAATCTAGTATTTGTTGGAAAATTTCCACAATTTTCCTATAAATTATGTGATGTACTTGCCACAACTTAAATTTGTTGGAAATTTACAATAGATTTCTAACAAATATAATAATAAACGTAATTTTATGGGATATTCATTGGAAATTTCCAACAAAATCCGATTGTTAGAAACATTTGTTGGAATATGCCATGTTTTCTAGTAGTGTCAGATGCTTTAAGAGGATGGTTGAGGCTTACAGCTTCACGCCCAAAGTTGAACATTATGGTTGTGTGGTTGATCTTTTGGGTCGAGCGGGGCAGTTAGAGGAAGCGTATGAGTTAATAAGGAACTTACCTATCACAAGTGATTCAACGGCTTGGCGTGCTCTGCTAGCTGCTTGTAGAGTATACGGGAATGCAGATTTGGGGGAAAGTGTGATGATGAGATTGGCTGAAATGGATGAGATACATCCAGCTGATGCAATTCTTCTTGCTGGGACACACGCTGTTGCAGGGAATCCACAAAAATCATTAGATGATGAGTTGAATAAAGCGAGAAAAGAAGCTGGATACAGCGCCATTGAAATAGAATAGAGTAGGGAATCTCTGGAGTTCATTCACCTCTGACCTTTTTGTTGAAAATTATATCAGCAAACTAGATTTTAACCCGCGATACACCACGGGGCTATACTTTAAACAAAAGTTTGAAAATTTATTTTTTGAAAATTATCTATAGATATAACCTATTGTTTTGTTTGATTAAATGTACTTATATATGTATATATTATATATAATACCCCGCGGTATACCTCGGGTCGATTTTTTATAACAATAATTTTTAAATTTTAAGTTGTATTTTTTTTTGTTAATATTATTTGTTTTATTTAGTGTTTAAGATTATATAATTGTATTTGATTGTTAATTTTAGGATTTCACCCGTAATATATCATCCCGTATTAATATCGACTCAAACCTGTCCCACCATATAACCCGTCCCATGAAATTAAACATCATTTTGTTATATTTCTTTTTAATAATATTTTTATTTTAAAAACATATATAATTCGAGTCAATTTATAAGTTTGCTTTAAAAAACATATATTTGTAATGTTTTTATTATAATAAAGTGTTTTTAGTATATTTGTAATGTTTTTATTATAATAAGCAATATATTAAACAGATGTTGCTTACTATAGTTATAATCAAAACCAACTAAAAATCTAAGTTTAGTGTAGATTATAAATTATAGTTACGACAAAAAAAAAAATTAATCAAATACAATTAGTGTAATTAAGAAAACAAACAGAAATATATAAAACCTTGCTTTAAAATCGTTAACAACAAAAGGAAACATCAGAGTTAAGCAAGATCTTTGGACCAAAATCTTTTCTTAATATCTTTTATTTAATTTTCCAAATCTTAAGAATTAATTCTAGTGGTATTCCATTGTAAATAGTAGTGAAAGCCAGGATTTATTTCATATTTGTATTCAAAAAGGTAGATAAAGATTGTTGTTCAATAAGGTAAAACCCTGTATTACACACCAAAAAAAAAGAAGGTAAAGCCCTGTATTTAAACTTTCTTGATGGAGTATTCTATGCTTTAGAACGGTAACTTATGTATAGAAAAAGGAGACAATTGAATTTAATGAAACAGTTTTGATGGATAGTGAAAAATCTATTTGACTGTGATGTTCAGCGACTCTAAACATTCTTTCCCCTTTCACTACCCAAACACTTCTCTGCTTGTCCTTGTGTTAATTGTTTCTGACTGCAAAAGAATCATTTAGGTTTTGTTTCCTAGTTGCATGAACTCACTAAGGATAAACTGATTCATTAATGACATGATGGTTGTCGCTGGCTTTGGGCATGATGGATCATAATCTGAGACAGTTATTATGTGGCTACTCAATTGAAAGAAAGAATATATATGAAACTCTATTGGTGAACTCATAACCTAATAGTTTAAGTAAATGAAATCATGAAATGATAGCTTAGCTAGTTAATCATATAAATTAGTAGTAACAATATCAAGTCATAGTTACTCCGGTAAAAGTCCAATCCATTTGAGTGGAGGAGGTTATATATATCTTGTTCAGCCTCTGCACGCAGCTCAACTTTTACATAAACATGAACTACCCTCCACTGGATGAGAAGTTTTTGGACTTAAATTCCTTTACATTTCCAACAATCTCACCAACATCATCAAGGTTTTGCAAAATAAATTTCATAAAACCACCACATTAACAAAACGACAAATGATATAAATATGCTGAGATTCAGATTCAATTTCAATAAATCAAAGA